TTACACGCCGTATAAGAATGTGACGTAAAACAGCAAAATAGCGACCAAGAGTGCCGGAGAGTGGATTGTCAATTGGTATCAATGAAATCATTACTTGTACAAGAATGTAACGTAAGATTAAATAGTGATCAGGGGGTCGGAGAGTGGATTATCGGTATTAGGTGCAAATGGTACATTTTCGGACTTCTTCCAATTCCTCCGAAATTTGTGGAGCCACTATACTGGCGATAAAAAATGCCCGTCGGGTTTGTCGTTATCAATGAAATAATTACTTGTACAAGAATGTAACGTAAGATTAAATAGTGATCAGGGGGTCGGAGAGTGGATTATCGGTATTAGGTGCAAAAGGTATATTTTCGGACTTCTTCCAATTCCTCCGAAATTTGTGGGGCCACTATACTGGCGATAAAAAATGCCTGTCGGGTTTGTCGTTATCAATGAAATAATGACTTGTACAAGAATGTAACGTAAGATGAAATAGTGATTAAGGGGGTCGGAGAGTGGATTATCGGTATTAGGTGCAAAAGGTATATTTTCAGACTTCCTCCAACTTCTCCGAAATTTGTGGGGCCACTATGCTGGCGATAAAAAATGCCTGTCGGGTTTGTCGTTCGGTTTTTACGTCTCCGAGGTCCCTGGATCGTTCCCACATCCCTGAGAGGTCGGGAGGCCCTCGGGTCCGGTATTGGTTCCAGGTCGGGCCCTTCCTGCGAAGGTATCGCTTTCTCCGCCGGTGGACAGCCGGGATAATCCGCTTACCGGGCCGGCCCTGTCGTCGGTGGCATTGTCGTCGCGTTTTGTGAGAAAACAGCATTTTCGTCGCTCGAGGTGCCGACAAGAAGGAGCTTATTCTCCTCCACGTCACAACAGAAAGGACCGCCGACTCCCGGGGACGAGGATCCCCTCTTGTCTCGCTCCTCTCCTCCGTTTGCGCCAACCTGTACGGCTTTCCCCCGAGCTCCGTCTTGATGTCACTTTTTCCTATGGGGTGGTACTTAGGGAATAATCGAATTTAAGGGTTTCGGATGAAGACTCCAGGCAGGAGGGAAGGAATTACCCGAAAATCGAAGCCTCGTCCCGAGGGCGTAGTCTGGGAGCTGCAGGGGTCGTGCAGGGCGAAGGGGACGGACGCATGCGCAAGGGGGTTGGACTTGAGAGGAAACGAGATTCTATCGACGGGAACTGGGAGCTGGGACCACGGGAATGGAAGGGTTGCCTCCAGCCCTCCCTTTCGCAGGACCTAATCCAATGAATATGTAATCCCGGGGCAAACACTCGCCACGCGTTCCGAGGTACCTCGCGATATTTCACGGATTATCCTCGAGTTGCTCCTGATTTTCAACCCTTTTTATTTTTCAAAACCCTTTCCTCGGACGGGGGAAAAGGAAATCCGATCTCGATACTTCGAGAGTTAAAAGTAAAAGGACCCTGAACCCTTCGAGTATCGGATATTCCATTTTCTTCCATCATTTTGACCCTTTCGAGTTGAGAGCATTTACCCGCTGATTTTCATCCCTTTTTATTTCTCTAACCCTTTCCGCGGATGGAGGAAATATAAATTTCGTCTCGATACTTCGGGAGGTGAAATTGAAAGATCACTCAAAAGGACACCCCTCGAGTATCGGATATTCCATTTTTTTTTGTCCATCATTTTGACCCTCTCGAGTTGACCAGAGCATTTACCCGCTGATTTTCATCCCTTTTTATTTCTCTAACCCTTTCCACGGATGGAGGAAATATAAATTTCATCTCGATACTTCGGGAGGTGAAATTAAAATATCACTCAAAAAGACACTCTTCGGGTATCGGGGTATTTCATTTTTTTAATCATTTTTAACCCCCTCGAGTCGACACCCACTGATTGTCGTCCCTTTTTATTTCTTATAATTTTTCCCGGACGTAGGGAAATTAAATTCAACCCTCAATACTTTGGAATTAAAAGAACGGTCAAAGAGGCGCTCTGAGAATTGTCGGCATTTTATTATTAATCGTTGCTATTTTTAAAGCGTTATCTCATGGATGGAGGAAATATAAATTTCATCTCCATACTTCGGGAGGTGAAATTAAAATATCACTCAAAAAGACACCTTTCGGGTATCGGGGTATTTCATTTTTTAAAATCATTTTTAACCCCCTCGAGTCGACACCCACTGATTGTCGTCCCTTTTTATTTCTTATAATTTTTCCCGGACGTAGGGAAATTAAATTACTTTGGAATTAAAAGAACGGTCAAAGAGGCGCTCTGAGAATTGTCGGCATTTTATTATTAATCGTTGCGATTTTTAAAGCGTTATCTCCCTCCCCCTAGAACGGCTATCGCTCGGAATCGCCGGGACGAGGGGGAGACATAAAGAATCACCCTCTTTCCATGCTAGGAGCGAAAAACTTATTTCCAACGCCACGAGGCGGGACTGCCGACGATGCAAACCGAGATAGACCAAGATTTTGTCGTTTTTTCCCTTTCTGTCGAGCCGGATAAAAATGTCAGTGATCGATGACCGCTCTAGGAAATGGCGGAATACGTAACGAGGCTTTTCCTCTAAGTTGGACTTAAGCTCCGGAGGAAAATTTCTCCTCGACCGAACGACTCTATTTTTGTCACGTGACATAACGATCCTTTGTGAGGCGTCCGGGATCACGATCAATTTTTGGATCGGGGAAATTGGGGGGGCGCAGCGGTTCGGTTCTTGTTTCCCTTTTTTCGGATAATCTCTCGACGAAGGGCCCGATAAAGTCATGCACTATTGGCCGCGAGGAACGCGAATCGCGGAGCGGAAGTACGCTCGATTTGGGAAGGCTAAGGGGGATCGAGAGCTCGCTAGATCTCGATCCTTAGAAATTGAACAGAGCGCAACAAAGCGTAACACATCCGATCGCGAGGTGCAAAAAAGGTATCGACCTCCCGATCGGGAAGAGCTAATCCCAAAGAAATCGCTCGCCCTTATTTTCGACTTCTCGTTCTCCTCCTTTCTCAACGATTTAAATAAAAAAAAAGGACGGAAAAGATAGGGGATTATTTTTACAAGCAGGGAAAATCTCCGAAATAGGGAGGAAATTTAATCCGACTTCGTAATAAGACTCGATCTCGGAATCTCTGGGATTCAAGGATGCGGATTAATTGATCGCCCACCTCTCGTAGAAATTATTATTAATTCAGTTTCTATACAAAAATCTGGTCGATAGGTGCAAAAAAGGTGTCGACCTCCCGATCGGGAAGAGCTGATCCCAAAGAAATCGCTCGCCCTTATTTTCGACTTCTCGTTCTCCTCCTTTCTCAATATTTTAAATGAAAAAAAAAAAAGGACGGAAAAGATAGGAAATTATTTTCCCAAGCAGGAAAATTCTCCGAAATAGGGAGGAAATTTAATCCGACTTGAAGACTCGATCTCGGAATTTCTGGGATTGAAGGACGCGGATTAATTGATCGCCCACCTCTCGTAGAAATTATTATTAATTCGGTTTCTATACAAAAAATCTGGTCGATACACATTCGAACGGCATTAACTTTCTGCATGCGTAATCCAAGTCAAAGGTCGTATAATATCGAGAACTTGACGAGCAATATTTATACAATCCGTCCAGGAGACCGCGAGGAGTCTCCGGGACCTAAGAAGGGTTAAAAAGTCGACGAAAAGGAAAGTAGAGTAAGAGATCGACGTCGGCGCCGACGTCGCGACGACTCTAGTTATGGCAGTTAAAATGAGTGGCAAGCATCGATCGATTTATAAATTAAAAGACCCTATTAATCGCCCCCGCTTCCTTCCCTCCTATCGGTTGATCACTTTATCGCGATGGATTTAGTCGAGGCAAAGGGAGTCTCTTAAAAAAAGAAAAAAAAAATATCTTCGAGTCGACGGCTCGAATGGAGATCCAGAATTTCCCTCCCTTCGCGATTCCTAATCCCACTGCCCGTCTGGAGCTCGAGATATTAATTCATTTAGCGGGAATTATCGCTACTTAGAAATACGCCGGGAAGCGTCGAATCTCATCAATTTAACGACGCGTTCGCGATTGGAATCGAGATGCGGCTTCGCCGGAATCTCCCTCGGGGTTTCTCTCTCACTGGTCGCGACTCTACGGATTAACTAATTATCGTTACATTTTGATTAATGCGCGGACGATGCGAAGCACGCGTAAATGCAGGACGATCGGCACGCCCGAATCACGAGGAACTCGAGAGAGGCCGTTTAAAGTTTCGTAGGAAAAAAAAGAAGAAGAAAAAGAGGAGAAAAGAAATGATAAAACGTAAGAACGAAAACAACGGAGGCTATGTCTCTCTCTCTACGATCACGTTTCTCTTATTTGCGCAATTTGTACCGGAGTAGTGTATTCATTCATCTCGTGCACACGCTCATCTCGCAACGTTTACACATCGGCAACGCAACGCGATCGGGATGCAGGATTTATTTCGAAATCGTAAAATCGAACACGCGCTGTTAATCCATATCCCGCGAATTTTCATCAATTCCGTGGTTGGCAAAATACACATTTCGTTAAAATGACAAGCTTTCTTGGCGGTCGAATTTCCAGGACTCTCGCGAATGTACAATTTATTGCCGCCATCTTAGCCGACCGATCGGACGAGTTTCCGAAGGATTTCGCATTTCTTCCTTCGTTTTCTTTATTTTGCCTCTCTCTCTTTTGTGCATTTCCGTTGTGCGTTGCGTCCCCGAGAATCGAGGATACATCCCGGAAACTCTTAACCGCAATATCGTATAATCTCTCGCTACAATATGTATACACTAATGCTATCTACACATTTTTTACATCCTGATACGCCAACTACGCGCCACGTGGATTCGACGGTTCAGTGCGAGACGCCCCTTGAAATTAAATAAATTCGAAAAGTCGAAATGTCGAAAATGCGAAAATTCGAAAATGCGAAAAGTCGAAAAGTCGAAAATACGAAAATTCGAAAATTCGAAAAGTCGAAAATTCGAAAATTCGAAAAGTCGAAAATTCGAAAATTCGAAAAGTCGAAAATACGAAAATTCGAAAATGCGAAAATGCGAAAATTCGAAAAGTCGAAAATTCGAAAATCTCAAAGAGCGTCGTAAAATGTACAGGCCTTTAAAAATTCACGCCGTCTCGCTCTCTTCCCTCTCGCTCTCTCATTTTGCACGTTTTTCTTCTTTTTTACAAAAATAACCACTGGACGGAACGAAAACGAGTTTCCCCTCGTCCTTAATGAAGGTACCAATAATCTTATCACAGGCTGCAACAGTGCCCTGATTATGTCGAGTTCGCCTTATTAAGGTACGAGCGATCAACGCAATCGTGCACGGAGAACACCGAAGATTGTTTCCCATCGCTGTCGATTGTCGGCGAGGTGACAAAAGGAGGGTAGAAAACAAAATGACGGGGAAAAAAAAAGAAAAAAAAATCATCGCGAGGAGGAAGAACCGCCGCAAGACACAGAGAATCGTTACACGATCCGTCGACGTCGTTTTTCTCTCTCCTGGAACGCCTCTTAATTTACACATGCAACGAGTTATTTCGCGGTAAAAAAATATCGATTGGTCGGATATACCGAGACCCCGGAGTAAAATATCTCAAATAGGAAATAACAACTATTCGTAGATTGTTAATAAGTGGACGGGGTGATTTTGTAAAAAATCTCTAGCACCGTTCAGTGCCCCTTGCAAATCGCGATTCGCTGTACAGGCCGAAAAAAGTGTTTGCAAGATCGGTTTCGCGGGATTTTTTAATAATTCCCTGAAATAAGCGACTCAAAAGGCGATCCGTATCCAAAGATATCCTTAAAATATATAGATATAGATTAATATTCACGCGCCGTTATTTCAGGAAACCAGGAATATTCGAAATAGTTGCTATTTGTTATTTAAAATAGTACCCTCGGTACAGCTGGTGATTGGAATATCATGGAGATCGTCTCGGTTGCTCGAGAAATACCCGACAACAATGCATGCAAATTCGGACTCGATGGATCTTCCATTTGTTCCTCGATACTCCCCAGAGATCGGAGAAAATCGAGGTGGACCGATCATTCCGCTCGATCTCGCCGACAAATTTGCGGACTTCTCGCTCTCCAGGGAGAGAATTCGCACAATCGTTGAGAGGACATTAGGCAAGACCTTAGTCGATTTCTCATCTCCGGGAGGAAAGCTCGCGAGTCCGAGTTCGAGATCGTTAAGTCGCTCGCTCGATATTAGCTATTAATAATTTTATATTAAATTCCCGGTCTCCGTGCCGGTTGTTCCGCAGCTCGTACAGAGGCCCTAAGATAGGTCGATAGAAGCGATCGGTGATCGACGTCGATCCGTTCCGGCTAGAACGGAGCTCGGGGCAGATTCGCCGATATGCCGATATATCTCGCTCAAGTCAGAAACGAGAAGAGCACGAGTGATTTCGCAGAGGAGTCTGTCACTTGGAGTCTCGAGATCCGCCTTGCCGGTCATTCGAGGGTTCTGATAAGGCCATAGAGCTCCCTGTAGCTGGCTCCAAGTTTCCCCGAGGCCGATTGCTTCTTCGCCAGCAATTCTCGAATCGCTCCTAACTTTTCGTAACAGGAGAGGCACTTGTGATACCTGGACATGCGATCGGTACCCCAGTTATACACGGAGTCGATTTCGGCCTGATTAATCGTGGGAAAAGTATATTAAAAAAATAATAAAGACACTCACCGTTCCTCGCGGGACACGTCTACGCCGATCGTGTGGAGGGGAGCTTCCACGTTGGACTTGATCACGGGGGCGAAATTCTTCAGGATCAATCCCAAGGCAGCACAGCCCACGGTGACGTACCTACGAACAAGGGAAAGTCAACATTAAAAATATCTCGACATATGTGCCCATAATTATGAAAGTGGTCTAAGTCAAAATTAAAAAAAAGAAATGAGTTTATCAGTTATTTCACGTCATATTATTTCAAACGAAATTAATTCAATGTAATTTCGAAACAAAAAATGTATGACTTAGACCACTTTCATAATTATGGGCACATATAGCGTGCCCATTTCCGGTAATATGTAGTCTGAGAAATATTAAAAATCGAGAGTGAGTCGTCACGAGTAAGACTCCTCTCTCCCGGGGGTCGCGCAATACGTGACGCATCGCCGTGAACGAAATGCATTATTAAGCTAATCGGCCAATAAATAACGGCGTACCCGCGACTCTAAGATTCGACACGGCAAACTCGGAAAGGGTTGCCCAGGGTTCCGCTTTCGAAAATCGGTGGGACGAATCGGAAAAAGGGGTCATGAATGCGGCCTCGACCGGACCTCGAAATTCGGGACGCCGGTCTTCTCCCATTCCTGCCGTTCGAAATAGCAGCGATTTCACGAATCTATTTTTTATTCCCTCCTTTACCCCGTATTCTTCGATTTACAGTGGAAAAAAAAAAATCCTACTAATCATAAATCCGGGAATTTTCATTTTTCAAGAATTGCCGCGAGAGGTGGTGTACATAAGTACGTGGAAAAAGACAATAAAAATCGCTTTGATCTATCGAGTTCGACAGGAATTTCACGAAACTATTTTTTATTCCCTCCTTTACCCCGTATTCTTCGATTTACACTGGAAAAAAAAAATCCTGGTAAACGAAAAACCGGGAATTTTCATTTTTCAAGAATTGCCGGGAGAGGTGGTATACATAGGTACGTGGAAAAAGACAATAAAAATCGCTTCGATCTATCGAGTTCGACAGGAATTTCACGAAACTATTTTTTATTTCCTCCTTTACCCCATATTCCTCGATTTACACTCTGGAAAAAAAAAATTCTGGTAATTGAAAACCGGGAATTTTCATTTTTCAAGAATTGCCGCGAGAGGTGGTATACATAAGTACGTGGGAAAAGACAATAAAAATCGATTCCCCTTCGTCTCCAGGTTGGGACGATTTTATTATCGAAATCTGTCAACGTGTTACATCGATTAATCGAGTTCGACAGGAATTTCACGAATCTATTTTTTATTCCCTCCTTTACCCCGTATTCTTCGATTTACACTCTGTAAAAAAAAAATCCTGCTAATCGAAAAACCGGGAATTTTTATTTTTCAAGAATTGCCGCGAGAGGTGGTATACATAAGTACGTGGAAAAAGACAATAAAAATCGCTTCCCCTTCGTCTCCAGGTTGGGACGATTTTGTTATCGAAATCTGTCAACGTGTTACATCGATTAATCGAGTTCGACAGGAATTTTGGGAAATTGTTGAGGAAGGGCGTGAATTTTTCAGGTCCCACGTGGCCACCCTCTGACCCACGTTAGGTATTCATCGACTGTTCCATTTTTTTCTCACGACTTCCCTAGGCCGTTTACACCGTGGAAAACGAGCCGTGAAAACGTAAATCGGAGTAGCGATTTGCGCCGACTCGTGTCGCACTTACGCGCCGATTTTTCGCCCGAGGAATATGCATATAAAACCGGGACCGTGAAATCGGCCGAGAGGAAATATACAAATATGTATATTTCACGCCGCTAAGCAGACCCCACTCTACATAGATCACTAAAATATAATTTTATAAGCCGTTTTAGGCGAGGAATAATCCCTAGGAAATTATCCAACCAATTAATGCGTGCAGGTGGTTAGGGGGTTACCTCTTAAAGGGACCGGAAGTGGTACCCCCTTTAGTAATTAGAGTAATTAGAACGACTCTCCGAAGGGATGCATTCTCCCTGAGAATAGTTTCCCATATTGATAACTCCCATCGACGGCTTGTGAAATTTTGTACATAATTTTTTTCTTATTTTTTTTTTCCTGCACAATGATCAGATTTTTTCGTAACTCTCTGGGGTGTGAAAATGACCGCTTCGGGCCTTGCACGCGACCTGCGCTTCAATTCCGTTTTTACGCACATGTGCGTGCACGGAGGCCCGAACTTTATAATGGAGTATTCGTGGCAGGAAACGATCGTTTATGTCATGGCAGGCCAACAGCTTGTGACTGCGTGGCAGGCTAATTATCTGTTTTCAGACATCACTCATACGAACGTTCGCCTCGTTTCGCTTCCCACAAGCGGTCGAAATTTACTCCCGAGACAGGGAAATTACCATGCGAGTCTGGAACCTTAGAACATTTTTTTCTTTCTAATTTTTTTATCCGGCGACGAAAGAAAAATATATAAACGTTTTAAAGAAGTGCATCGGGCGGATGCAAATTGCGTCGAGAGCACGTGGAGCTGTCAAAGCGCCCCTCAAAAGATACAGCATTGAGACCGAACAAAAGCTCGCACGCCGGGAAAGGATTTCAGGACGAATTTGCATCTGCCACTGTCTTCCATTGTCTCGGCTAATTTCCTCGACCCTCCATCGAGACCTCCGCTCTGGTGATCGAATTGCTGGACGTTTATTAGCCATTCCCATACACGGGCGATCGCGTGCCCGTCGTGTCCTTCGGGACCCTTTTTTCGTTAGCATACTTGCATTTGCAATCCGCTTAGACGTCCATCCAAATTTCACCCCCCTGTCATCCATTCAAAATCGAAGGGTGGCTCCAGTTTTCATCGACCACAAGCCACGTGATATTTTGGAGACGTTACAAACAATGTCCTCAAAATGTTGCGCTCCCAGCCGGCCATTTTTGCGATCCGACTCTTCCACATTTGTGGGGAGTAAAAATCCAGGATTAAATTCCTCATAATGGAGAATGTTTCCGCAAGACGAAGCGCACCGAGGTTGCTTCTCTCTTGGCCTCGTAAAAAAACAAATGTGGCTTCGGGTAAGGGGAGAAGAGGCAGAGGAGTACAACCGCAAACCTCAGCTTCGCGAAGCACTCCCGGCACTGGCGGTTTTGTAATATCGAGAACTTAACGACGTGGTCGTCGTCATTCTTCCACTCGCTTGCATTTATACCGAGTTTTTACAACACGGCGTAGACGCTTCCTTGGTAAAAAAAAAATTCCCTTAGGCTACGAGGACGGCCAAAATTAAAAGTCAACTCACATTTCGTATTTACTTTGTAGGAGCTCCCGGATCGGCGATAACAGCGCGTTGCACAAATCCAGGTTCCACATGGTTCTGAAAGATAGTGTGGTAATTGTTTAACTAAAATTCTAATTTTTAGTCACTTGATCTGGTTTTTAAATTAAATCGAGAGATACTTACGGCTTTAACGTGAGAACTCCCAGCAGGTCGACGATGACTGCAGGGTCGTTCATCGCAACGGCTGATTCTATGGCGGACTGAAATTAAATATGCGTTATGTTGTAAAATATTTTGTAAACAAAAATGTTCTAATGAAATAATGTATATAAAATGTTACGCACCTTCAGGTCCTTGCTGTGCCACAGTGAATAAATAATCTGCAAGGACCGCTGGCGATTTGTAAGGATCGCCATCATGGAGTCATGGCCACGCATCATGCTGTTCAATACTTCGGCCTCTGACATTTGTGGGAGTACGCCAGCTTGTGTGTATCCTAACGACGACGGACCCGCCACATGACTCTGAAATTGCAGAGAATGGATATTTCGTGAAGTCTGTATTACACCGAAGGCATAACTTTTAAATTCTAATGACACTTTTAACTCACTGGCAGAAAGTCTTCGACATCGAGGCCATAAGACCTCTCAGCATTAATTGGTACGAAGTCATCTTTCTCTTTGTCATCAACCGATGGTCTCACTTGAGGAATTCTAATCTCCACTTTGGGGTTCGGTTGAACCTGAGCCTTGTTAACTTTCTTCATCGCTCCATGATTTCTTGCCGATAGCATGGAAGAGTTAACAAAGTTCCTACTCATCGCAGTAGACCTTGACTGCGCTGTGTTTGGTCGGTTCAGAGCTGGGTCCGATGGACTATGTCTTATATTATTTATTCTGCAAAATTTGAAAGTAAAATACATATCCTTACCTTGAGTGACCGATACAGGTGGATAGTAATCAATACACGTTATACTTACTGTACAGGATAGTCGCTTTCGTAGTTTTCTTCTCCTTCCCTACAGCTAGTTTGCCTCTTCAAATAGTGCTTCGGTGAGTCAGGACTCGGTGCTCGATTTTTCATCTTCCCATCATCTATCACTGGAGAAATGGCTGCCATCGGTGCAACTCTTGGTGCCAAGGTGGAGTTTGATCGCTGAGGACCCAGTGGTGGTGTGTTGCTTGAAACTGTCTTTTTCCCTGGCAGCGGAGTAATGTTTTGTCGAAGGGGTGGAATTTGGGTAAGATTCTTGGAGTTCTTGTTCAGATTATTCGCCTGCAAATTCGCTCTAATCTGGCTGGTCGAAGTAATCATGTTTCGCTGCATAGGTGGTGAAGATTTTATGGGATGCACTCGCACGGGAACTGGTTTCATTATCGTTGGTGGTGGTTGCATTAATGGGGAGGGTGATCTGGGCTCTTCGTCATGATCCGTTGCATTCAAATTTGACAGCGATGTCGAAAGGCTCCGAAGTATTTGAGGCTGCGTTGGATCTAGCGAAACAAGAGAAGCTTCTTATTAAAATGCCAATAAAAAGCTTGTTTAGATATGGATTATTCCAGTAGACCGGTGATCTTCCTTTCTTGCATAAATTGTCCACTTAGTGATGGTAAAACACCATTATGAAACTCACCATTCTCCTGAGGCTCTTCGAAAGCCTCGAGCTCTGGTGGTGGAGTACGAGTCACTGAAACATATCATGCACAGCATGCTCCTTCACAAACTGTACAACATCCGTGTATCTTAAGCGAAATGACTAACTAATCGTAACGTGGCTATAGGAATTTTCAGAGTGCAAACGTGAAATTTTCGATCTTCCATCTGCCCATTCGTACTAACTGATTCTAGCCAATCGTTTAATAAATATGTACAGTGACCCAGTAACATCAGAAACATGCAAGGCAGATTTGAAACGCTTAAACTAGGAGTGCGTAAGATAAATGGTTCTCCTCGTTTAAAAGGAAAATTAGATGCTTTAGTAAAACATTCAGACAGAAGGGCACGCAAACAAATGCGAGAATATTAATTAACACTGAGAATGTTTTCTAATGGCATTCAGATTTTACTTACGTGCTCGGTTGGGCCTGAAAATGTCTTGATATTCCGTGACGTTAGGTATGTCTGCAATTGTGGCTTCATCTTCAGGGTCAGTCCCGGATTTATCTGCTTCTTCTATAGTAGTCTTTACATTCATCCTACAAACGAACACCTTCGTGCAACAATTCGATCGTGTTTCACTTGGGACTGACAAGATGCCATCTATTTATCTGTGCGAATGCCTTTCGATGATTATATAAATTTCTTAAACTCACACATGCTTTTTAAGGCCTGGGGGACGTTCCCTAGAAAAACTCTTCCGCAATGAATTTCCATGGCTAAACGAAGAGTCCGGAGATGGGATTCCTCCTAAAGGTGCAGTCTTCTTTAAATCGCACACATAGACAACCACATTCGCTGTATGAAATGAGGCCCCGATCTAGAAAAATTCAGTATTATCTGAAACTTGTATAGAAACTGATAAATTTATTTAGAATGAGCACAAAGAATTAATTACTAATTGATTCTGTGCAATGGCAATGTCCTGAATTTTTCCCCAGCCTGTTGGAATGGTGTCTAAAGTACGCGCAGGCTCCCATCCGAAAACTTTCAGAACATCATGGCTTCCGGCAAAGAGACATTCTCCTCCTTGACTAAAGTGTAAACACCTGTTCGAAGAATACATTTGCAATTAAAATTTAAAGTCAAGGTAGAACTAAAATAAATTAAATATAATTATATTCCTACGCACCTGATCGGAGAAGACTGATTTTGTTCAGTGGACGAAACTAACTGAAAAGATTCGAGGTCCCAAAAATGTACAGTTTTATCGGCACTTCCGCTGGCAAGTAGAAACTCGTGAGGATGAAACTCCACAGTCGTTGCTGGACCTCTATGTTCCGAAAACTGCCGTAGTTGTCTGCCAGCTCTCAAATCCCACAACTAAAATAAATTTGTAGCATTGAGAACTATTTAAAAAAAAAAAAATGCTGCATTTATATCAATTTATTTTATACCTTCACCATGCCTTCTTCACCAGCACTTGCTATCCACTGGCCATCGGGACTAAATTTTAGACTATTAACGGTCTGATTATGTCCTTTGTATGTAAAAATACATCCTTTTCTTCGGATATCCCACAACTTGATTCCAGTATCCAAGCTGCCGGACGTGAGTAGTTCGCCATATGGATGAAAATCCATGCATCTAATTCCAGCTTTATGACCAGTCAAAGTACGTGCTAACTTTGCATGCTCCAGGTCCCAGATTTTAAGGGCTCCAGTTTGTGAACCGGCGCATACCAATTCTTCGGTTTGACCAAAGCGAACGCACTCTATCGGAGTAGTGTGTCCACTCAGGCTCTGTATAAATATAATAAACAATTATTTTATAATTTTTACTTTAACAAAATTTAAAATGTTGCACTTACCATTATACAATTCTGCTTTCCAACGGCCCATAGATTAACTTTTTTGTCATCACCGCCGGTAACTAAAACTCGTCCTGACTTATGCCCCAATGATATGCAATTAACATTCGAAGTGTGGGCAACAAAGTCCTCTGAAAAATTACATCTTCTCTCAACACGGAAATAATTACAGTCCACTAAGTATCTTTAATCTCGAAATCTAATGTCTTGCCAAGAAACTTCCCTTTTTTTTTTTTTTTGAACAAACTAATTATCATAAAAAAATTCTGACTTATGTTAAACTTACGAAGTTTCCAGGATCGTTTCGCCGAAGAAGCCATGGCCAAAATTATGTCGGAAGTTCCCACGATTCCCACTGAAGATAAGTTTATTTTTCCAGTCTACATAGAGACTCAACTAGCAGTCCGTCGTTGAATTTTTTCTTACTATGGTTCCTCAACGGCATCATCGTTCCCTTTTTCTGGTTCCGTTCTCCAAAGGATCAACAATTCAAGTTGCTCTAAACCTATTCAGAGGTGATCTTTCATCGTGAGTGGTGGAAGTCACTAATTTCACGTGTAAAGATCATCGATGTCCTCACAGACTTTCGTAACCTTTTCCTCTTGTCTCATCTCCAAGAATTCTTGCTTCTCACAGGACCATATCTGTACTTTGGAGGTAAACTACATCCAATAGGAATTGACTAGGACAGATTTCTTCTCCCAGCGTTGCATCTTAATTTCGCCAGAAGAGAAGGAATAACCGCGACAGGGCAGATAATTAGCGTGGGCATTTACTCGGGTAAAAAGTTTCATACAGGCCGATTTACCTCGTGCGATGTTAAAAAAATACCCTTTTCCATACGTGGGTAGTTGACGGAGTGGTAGTGGACTGACGTTGAGATATCTCGAAAAGGCGATTCGAGTATCGAGAACTCGTTGCTTTCCAATCGACCCTGATACCGGCGCCGGTTGGACTTCCAAAGATGGTTACGCGTTTCTACGTTTCTGCTGGTTCCTGGGAACCTCGATTCCCCGACGACTATTTTTCCATAAATCGAGCCAAACGCCGTCGCAGCGATAGCACCTCGTTTAAAACCGAAACGATAACCCGACACTTGACAGCAAAACAAGTAAAAAACAATGAAACGCGCGAGCTGCGGATCGTACGTGGCGCCATTCGTCGGAAGAACGGTAAATCCTAACCTCAAATCGTATACCTTACTGCAATAAATTTCCTGGATATCAACCGTCGAGTTTCCGAGAAGGTAACTTAACCTAAAACCGAGTTTATCTTTTGCAGGTATGGTATACTACATTCTCCAACCGATAGCCAGGAAATAACCGACCGGGTTACTTTTCCTGCACGTTCTGCGTCGATAAAGTCTGAAATCGTAACTTGAGGATGTCTGAAAGCTGGGGAGAAAGAAAATTTCAAAAAGACTCCACGTTGCGGGTGAGTATTGTTTACAAAAAATTCCTCTGGGATTTTCAGATGAGTGGATTATTAAAAGAGTATTTTATAAGTTAGGATTATTAGAAGAGTATATTATTAAACGAGGACAGAGGATGAAATTGTTATTCTAAGTGGAGTTGTACTCAAAGTTCGCCCTTTTCAGGTACTTTTCGCTGGAACGGAAACCGAAAGAGATTAGGGATCTTTCGGGGAAACTCGGAGGTGTATTTTCGGAATTGGAGATCCTCATTTGGCACCCCTCCGAAAATTCCGTCCACCCCTAAGGTTCCGTCCTGGGGATTTCCAGAAGTCGAATAAGGGTATAGTAGGTCGAGCGTGGACGGAATCCCGATGCGAAAATGACCTGTCCGCCCTCGTCATAAAGATCCGCAGAAGAAATACAATTCTGCCCCGCCTTCGGATTAGCTCACAGGAATAAACAAGGAGGACGAGGTTCAGAATATCCATTGGGAAAAGTCGCTTTAGTACGGCTTTATGGACTGAAAACAGAGGAATCGGTAAGGTCTTCCCGTTACCGGCTGAAAATTGGAACGCATCGATATTCCGAAGGGGCGACTCGCACTCGGATTGAATTCTAATATCCGAACAGTTTTAATAACAATTTCCAGTACTTTGACATCCGCGCAAACTGAAATCATTAATCCGGAAGTTTCAAGGCAGAAGGAGAGACTAAACGTTTTCTGGTCTTGCCGATCGACGTCAAATCTCTTTACCTTTTTTTAACTCGCCCTTTCCATCTCGGGTCTCATTCGAAACAGTTTTTTAAGCTGATGCGAAAGAGACGTCTCGTTTATGAAACTTTTCTCCGAACTAGGTGTACCGAACCGTTTAAAATTTCCCCACGGGATTTTTTTTCCTTATATTTTATGAACAATTGTCATTTTCGTACAAAAATGGAATTTTATTATTGTTAAGAACTTCCTTAGGGCCCCCATATTCGCGTGGTAAAATTTCAAACGATTCCTATTTATTAATCCAAAAAGTCATTTATTTTTCTATTTATTGATTCATGAAGAAAATCAGCGATCGCGTCGGAGAAGCGTTCTCCTATTTCGAGTTCACAGGTTCCTTAATTCTTAATTTTCTTAATTCTAGGTCAGAAAGGTCTCGCCCTCCTAATCACGGGGTGTCGGCTCGCCGTCTCCGGCTTTTCGGCTCGTCGGAAAGCCTGCCGGAGTTTGCGAACTCGAGGTCGGATCCCCTCGTTCAGGATTGGCAAGCACTCTAAGAATCGAAGGATCCTTCGCTCAAGAAATCATGGATTTTAATGCTATAAATCACATGGAAATCAGCTGGAAATCACAAGTATGCATGAATCGCTGAAAATTGTTGAAAGATGAAAATCGCCGTCCCAGCTTTAAGGTCGAACGTCACTCGTTACCGAACGACATCGCTTATCATACAAAGTAAAAGCCAATCGGTTTTCACCGATTTCTGAGGGAATATCCTCTCTCAAAGAGTCCGGCTTTTCAGCGCGTCGGAAAGCCTGCCGGAGTTTGCGAGCTCGAAGTCGGGTCCCCTCGTTCAGGATTGGCAAGCACTCTAAGAACCAAGGGATCGTTCGCTCAGGAAATCATGGATTTTAATGCTATAAATCCCAAGTACGCATAAGTCGCTGAAAATCGTTGGAAGTCGTTGAAAATCGCCGTCCTAGTTTTAAGACCGGACGTCACTCGTTACCCAATGACATCGCTTATCGTGCGAAGTAAAAGCCAATCGGTTTTCACCGATTTCCGAGGGAATATCCCCTCTCGAAGAGTCCGGCTTTTCAGCGCGTCGGAAAGCCTGCCGAAATTCGCGGACTCGAAGTCTAGTCCTCCCTGTCGGGATTGGCGAGCGCGTCGCGCGCGGAGGGGTTGCGCGCCCCATCCCAGGGGTAGATCAATACCGAGCAAAAGGCCGGCCTATAGCTTTCGGCCGAGCAGTACTCTCGCGCCGCGGAGAGGCGCCGCACGCGATCCTCCACGCCGCGTCTCGCCGCGCCCTGATAGCGCCGGCACCAAGACGAGCATGTGCCACCGAATTCTGGAGTCGACGCGATCCGGCGTCCATAGACTTTAACAGAGGAAGGGTGGACCCGTCCGGCAGAGACCACCTCATAAATCAGCGAAAAAAGAATCCGATTCTTTTCATTCAAAATACCCCTTCGATCGGGTTGCCTAGAAATGAGAAGGACGAAGGAGTTAGAAAAATTGTAACTCGGGAAATAGTTGAGAGGGAGAGAGAGAAGGGCTCGACTCGGAGGGTGGTTATCTCTAGGGGATGAGATAAAAATCGAGAGGAAAAGTCGTTTGTAGGGACCGCATGCGGCTCGGTTGGAGGCTGAGGGTGGAGGGCTTCCAGCTTTTCCTCCGCCCTGTCCGAGAGGAGGACATTTTGGGGAGCTTTTGCCCCGTCGGGGGGATGCTCGCGAGGGGGTGGCAGGATTTCCCAGGTGCGAAATGAACGACGCCTTTATTGGAGGGTTCGTTCGCCCCTGGCGCGGCATGTGGCGCTGACGGAGGGCTTTAAAGCCGCCTAGATTCCTCTCTCTCTCTCTCCCGAGGGATCTATCTCCCTCTATCTCGCTCTCCCTCTTTCTCCTCGGCCACTGCACCCTGCTGCAGCCTCCGGCATGCGGGGTTTGTGACTCGCGGGGATTTCGGAGGGAAGGCGATCGACCTCGAGCTTTCGGAGCCAGCCAGTCTCTGACACAGGGTGAGTGCACTCGTATTTCCTACTTCCCGGGGAGGTGAAAGTTCCTTCCCCTCGTGGAAGAATTTCTACCCCCGGGGGTGGACTTTATACTTATATGTCGCAGAAGGGGATCGCGACATCCCCTGTGCGACGATATATGCGATTCCTATTATTTAAGGGCCTCAAGGGTTGTCGAGAGGTGAGGATGCTTCTCGAGGATCCTTTTCCGAGATGCGGATAAAAAGGACGAGAGGGATATCCAGACTTTTTGGAAAATTATCAAAATTTCAAGAGGGATCCCGGCGTTCTATTAGTAGGATATGCAAATCCGGGGAATCGATTCGGCAGCGTCTGTGTCTTAATTTATTTATTTCGACCTCGTCATTTTTAGCGCGACTATTCTAGAGATGCATGGGTGCATTTTTTAAAGGGGGTGGAGGTTAAATTTTGGAATATTGTGATAATATTTTTTTTTTTTTTTTGGGTCGATGATTCGAGTCGTGCCGGACGTGTTGGAAAAAGGCGAAAGCGAGAGGCGCGTTTCAGATGCAAAAAAGGAGGGCAAAGTATCGGAAAACTGGAGTTTTGCTTCGAAGAGAGCCATGTTAAAAATGGGGTGCACCCACCTCGGCTCGTTAAGGGTAAAGCACCCTTCGTTGATTATCCTGGCCGAGGAATAGTAATGCATGCGAGGCGCTTCGTTCTTCAAGTAATGACGAAACTACATTTCTTAAGACGTCGACGTAAACCGGGTTTTACGAAGCTGCCGTTAAGATAAATGCCGAGATAAATGTGCCCAGTTCCTTGACATTTTGGGGCTTTCGAGGCACCCCATAAAACGCTCAAGATAGCCGAAGACGAGTTTTAGATAATATACTACTTAGCAACATTTTTAATATATATATTTAATTTATAACCGCAAACTTTGGTTACCGGATAACTCGTCACTTTTCTTCGCCGTTTTTCCTCCGATAGAGAAATTTATCCATTCTTTGCCCATTGTCATTCTGAAGGAAAAAATACGCGATTTTTTTTTCCGCACTCTGTACATATATATTTTTTATTTTCTTCGGTTTATTTGTTTATCGGATGTGGATGTATCGATCAGGTTGAGGGCTTTTTTGCGACACGTTGACGTTATACTGGTTAACTTTTGCGGCCTTCGCATTGACACCACCGTGTATACGATAAAGTAGATGCTAAGTTGTTCAGTCGTTAGGCTGGCATAAATTCCATATCTCTTTGCGTTGTAAATCACCAATACTTGCTGAGACGACAAAAGTGATCATTCATGAATATGCAGCGATGCGTCATTGATTTTGACGGAAGCCTCGACTATCATTGACGACTATTGTTACTATTGTTCGAGTAGAAGGTCTCGGAACGAGAACGAAGCGAAGCGCCGAAACCGAGGACGTTAAGGCTAAGACTAAGTCTTTTGATAAGATTTCGAGAGAGATACCAGCCGTGCTGTAAATGGAAGAACAATTTACGAGGCGGAATCGCATTCCTGGAGATCGGCGCCTTTTTGCCCTCGACAATGCGAGGATGACTGCATATGAAAGAGACGTATGTGGTCTGACTAGATACAGGGACTTATCTACTGACACGATATCTGAACGAGTCCTCCCCGTCTGACTCATAATGGACTATCGAATTAATTATAAATAATATGATATTCTCGAGTCTAGAGGGCCAGGAATGATATTCCCTGTTTCCAGGAATGTAGAGGCCGCTTGGGGAAATTAAATCGAATTTCCAGCAATCACTCGGACGACGTTAAAATCGAAATTGATATTTATCTTACTTATTTACTGTTACGATATCTGAACGAGTCCTCCCCGTCTGACTCATAATGGACTATCGAATTAATTATAAATAATATGATATTCTCGAGTCTAGAGTGCCAGGAATGTAGAGGCCGCTTGGGGAAATTAAATCGAATTTCCAGCAATCACTCGGACGACGTTAAAATCGAAATTGATATTTACCTAACTTATTTACTGACACGATATCTGAACAAGTCCTCCCCGCCTGACTCATAATGGACTGTCGAATTAATTATAAATAATATGATATTCTCGAGTCTAGAGTGCCAGGAATGATATTCCCTGTTTCCAGGAATGTCGAGGCCGCTTGGGGAAATTAAATCGAATTTCCAGCAATCACTCGGACGACGTTAAAATCGAAATTGATATTTACCTCGGCGGAATAAACACTCGAAATTCAAGGGTTTTTCTAATTAATTCGACATATTTACCGTGGAAGCGCGGGATGGGAATTGACGTTAAAGTTAATATTTATTTTTCGAGATCAACGGAATTTAAAGTTTATTTGTCGTTTTTAACGTCGGGATGTTTTAATTGAGAATGCGAGTCGCGATAAAAAGAATAATGGGATCGCGTGGCGGACCTTGGAGGCGAATCTACTTAATCGGGATTTTTGCGAACGATCGTGATAAGTGCCCGTGTGTGGTCTGCCTAAACATCGGGCATATCTACTGGAACCGCGTCTCCTTTGCTGACGATTCTGAAACTCGAACTCGCATCATTTCCAAGGCGAAGGGGATTTTCTCCCAACACCTGCGTTTACACCTTAAGACGTTCTACCGAAACCAGTATCTTCTGGTTTAGGCCAGTTCGAACCGACTGCGTTCAGACGAGCGCGGTTCGGAATCGACGGCGATTTTCTCTCTTCCCGACTCCCCGAGTTGGCAAGAATTAAAAAAAAAAAATTGTATTTCCATAACTATCTCCTTTTTCAACTTATCCAACCCGCGCCCGATAACGGCATCGGGATAAGAGCTTTTCGCAATCGTGGGGATTTTCCCCTCTTCCTTTTCTAACTTCAAACATAAAACCCGAAAAAATCCCTAAGGGCCACCTAGGGGGGGGATGATCTCGTCCTAACCTCAAACTTGGGAATAAGTCACTGAAAATGATCGAAACTCACTCTTCGAATTGAAGGTTTAAAAATTCGGACTCTCAAAATTCAAGCTCTAGAAATTCAGGAACTTAAGGTGGTGGGAAAGTGGCGTCAAAGAGGTTTTGTTTATAAAACTTTTCTCCCAGCTCGATTTACCGAATAGTTTGAAACTTTACAACGCGAATGGGGAGACTGTAAGGAAGGTCCTGAAACTCGCAAAATTTCAATTCTTTTCAAATTTGCTTATAGGTATTTTAAAAATAGTTGATTAGAAATGAAATTTCGCTAGTTTCAGGACCTACCTTAGGGTCTCCATATCCATGTTTTAAAGTATGAAACGATTTGAGACACCCAGTTCGTAAATAAGTTTTATGAACGATTGAGCTTTCGGATGCCACTTTCACATCCCCTTAATCTTATTCTTCTCTGTCTCTTAATCTTTTAGATAGGAAATAGGGGGAGGGAAATATTTGAAAGATCCAAAACGTGCTCGAGTCCGATGTCGATCTTTACGATGCGACTCTGATAGGCACCGATCTTCGGGTCTTTCCGCGGAATGCGAGAGACCTGGGCGGAGCCTTCTTATCACGACCGGCACGGTCGCTGCTCTACGCGTAACACACGCACTCATTGCTGGACGGAGTAAACAGTCGCTTTGCGTTCGTCGACGCGAGTAGTCGCTGTAACGAGTAGTGCGCGTACGCGGCGAGGACGCACGACATGGCGTCTTGACTTTTACCCTAGTCGGTCTCAGGGCAAAATTTACGCCGACCTCGTCTACGACCTCCAATTCCGAAGAAGATCTCGACATGATCCCTTCAGATATTAAGTATGCGTTTTTACCACTCGTCTCCCCTCCAGATATCCCAGTCGAGGGGGTATTGTTATTAGAAATCCTACTAGATAATAGAGTTGCATGTTGTACCCTGAGAAAAAAAAAAATCTCGAACCAAAGAAATATTTGTTTAATTTATAGAAACGTTATTTTACTGGAATAAATTGCATGGAACTATTCTTGGAAATTATAACAATTTATTTGGGCTTATTTCAGTCGAGTGATCATTTAAATAATTAGAGTTGCATGTTGTACCGTGAGAAAAAAAAAATCTCATCGAACCAAAGAAATATTTTTTTAACTTGTAGAAACGTTATTTCACTGGAATAAATTGCGATACATTGCATGGAACTGTTCTTGGAAATTATGACAATTTATTTGGGCTTATTTCAGTCGAGTGATCATTTAAATAATTAGAGTTGCATGTTGTACCCCGAGAAGAAAAAATCTCTGAACCAAAGAAATATTTGTTTAATTTATAGAAACGTTATTTCACTGGAATAAATTGCGATACATTGCGTGGAACTGTTCTTGGAAATTATGACAATTTATTTGGGCTTATTTCAGTCGAGTGATCATTTAAATAATTAGAGCGAGTTGACGAAAGATTTCTTTGGATCAGTGAACTCTTTTCTCTCAATGGGGATAAGATTGAGAGGTTGTCGCACGACGTCGAGAGAATATTTTTAGACGGAAACGTCGTTTTAGATCAGCTGGATATAGTTGGGGATGCGAAGGACCTTTTATGGTGAATATTTTTACTCCTCGTTTTTCGGGGCACTGTATTCAAGAACTCCATTTTTATGCCGGATTGTGGATGATCGAAGAGCATGTCGGTTGATGGAAGTGATGGATGATGTGAACGTCCACTCGGAGTGGATGCTGCGACCCTGGGGGATGTCTTCGGGCTTTGTGAGATTTTTCTTGGAGGAATTAGCCCGTTTCTTGGACGAGGACTTTAGGGGGCATGGAACTCTGGAGAGGCGAACGCCATTTCGGGTCTATTTGGGGAGTGGAAGGTATTTTTAAAAAGGGTCCCTGGGGACTCTGACTCGTGGTTGAATAAAAAAAATGCGTAATCGAGGGGAAAATTACGGGTCAATGGGATTTAATACGCTGGGGGAATAAATTTCACGCTAAAGGTCTCTGAATGGACCTCAGCAGCTAAACGTCACTTCAAGTTTATAAAAAAATTAATGGAAATTATCTTCTTTTTTTATTTCACGGAATTACTGTTGACGAGTTTAATTCCAGGCGTTCATTCTACTCGATCCACGTAAATGTGATTTTTTTTTCCTATTCTTCTAGAATTTCGAGGTCAATCCAAATCACCTCAGGTATCATTTGAAAAAAGTGGGCCGACATTGTTCATCGACTTACTGTAATTTAAAAAAGTGTATATGAATCTGGGCGGCTGTTTATTGGGAAATGAATGAAATTTTGAATAATTGTATTCTCGTGGGCGCAATTTAAAATTTAATCGCGGATATTATCTCGTGACTCGTGTCTGAAAAATAAGTTATCGGCTGGAAAAGTGATGAAGACAAGACGTCACGTGGCGAGATTAGGACTTTGGCCTGTCAGGGACCTGGGACGATGTACTCGGGTAAATAGAGTCGGAATAGGTCCGGCAATTGATTACGGCTTATCAGTCGACCTCGATGAGTAAGGGGCTCGCGGAATTTATTCCAGAATTCCGTCATCTCGAAGTGCCGTTTTCGAAAACCGGGAACTGGGTCGGATCGGTTCTTCAACTCCTGGACCATTTCATGGAGCATCGAGCCCAGAACTTCATTTCATGGATTGATGCGTCTAAATTAGGCTCGCGAGAACGACACAGAAAATTCTCATCCCGCGAGATTAATCGCGAGAAAAATTTCTGCCACCCCTCGTGTCACACCACCGGAAATATCTAGATTATTTCTAATTTTTAATATTTTCCAAAGGTGGGATTTACTCCCCGAGAGAATTAACGAACCCCGAAGGTTTCTCGAAAATTTCTCGATTTTTCGACCTTTCGTAGGAATTTTCGCCTCCGGAATTTCGACTGTTTTTTTTTTTTTCTTGTTCTTCTGCAGCCGATTTTAATTCCAAGTTTTTTCCCAATTTCCGTACGATTTTCGGGGGGGAATTCCGGGCGACCGGATGCGCAAATAAAAATGAAATTCCGGGGTGGAGTGGAAACGAAAAGCCGGTGTGGATCCTCGCCTCGGTTTGCGGATTCTACGGCGGGTCGTGCGGTGCCAACGCTGTTGGGAAAAGTTTGACATGACTCGAATTTCCCACGCGTCAATTACGGATCGGGAAACCGTGGGTTAAACGGCGGGGAATTCTTGGTCCTCGGTTTTCCGGATTCGACTCGGATGGAGCCGCGGTGGAGGTCATTAACGAGCCACCGACAGTGGCAAATGAATAGGTCCTTGTAATGCTTTTTACCGACCTGCATGAACGGCACTCGTTAACGCGGCCCGAAGAATTGTCGTTGTCGTAAACGAGCACTTTGCCAAACCGACTTCGACTCTTGCTCCGTGACCTGTGACCTCGCGCCATCGGAACGGTGCCAACGATGTCGGGTTAACGTTCCGAGGCAGGCTCGATTGCCTTTTTTTTTTTTTATTTTTACAACTTGATTTCTGACGACAGGAATCCAATTTTTCTTCAGACCCTACATTAAAAATGTCTCCTGTAAATGTCAATTTTTTATTACGCAGAATGTCGAGATAAATTCAGGAAGTAATCCTCAAGGGAGTTAAAACGGATTTTAATTGTGATGTCAATTTTGTTTTACGCAGAATGTCGAGATAAATTCAGGAAATAATCCTCAAGGGAGTTAAAACGGATTTTAATTGTGATAATTATCGCAGACTGTGCATTGTTGTCAATGATGTTGGGTTAACGTTCCGAGGCAGGCTCGATTGCTTTTTTTTTTATTTTTACAACTTGATTTCTGACGACAGGAATCCAATTTTTCTTCAGACCCTACATTAAAAATCTCTCCTGTAAATGTCAATTTTTTATTACTCAGAATGTCGAGATAAATTCAGGAAATAATCCTCAGGGGAGTTAAAACGAATTTTTATTATGATAATTATCGCAGACTGTGCATTGTTGTCAACGATGTCGGGTTAACGTTCCGAGGCAGGCTCTATTGCTTTTTTCTTTATTTTTACAACTTTACAACATACATACATACATTTTTACAATTTTTACAACTACATTAAAAATCTCTCCTGTAAATGTCAATTTTGTATTACTCAGAATGTCGAGATAAATTCAGGAAGTAATCCTCAAGGGAGTTAAAACGGATTTTAATTGTGATAATTATCGCATGATGTCGGGTTAACGTTCCGAGGCAGGCTCGATTGCTTTTTTTTATTTTTACAACTTTACAACATACATACATACATTTTTACAACTACATTAAAAATGTCTCCTCTTAATGTCAATTTTGTATTACTCCGAATGTCGAGATAAATTCAGGAAGTAATTTTCAAGGGAGTTAAAACGGATTTCAATTGTGATAATTATCGGAGACTGTGCATTGTTGTCAATGATGTCGGGTTAACGTTCCAAGGCAGGCTCAATTGGGCCTTTTTTCGCGGGCTAATATCGTCTGATAGGAATCCATTGTTTCCTGATAGATGGACCCCGTTGCACGCGTTAAAAGTGTCTCATCTTTGCAGACCTTCAGCGGCGATCATCATTATGCGCGCAACGCGATGGGGACGCATTAATTTCCCTCTCTTCGTAGCCTATGAAATTACGTGAGTGGCGTTTGTTGTCCCTTGCATAGAAAAATGTCGAGCACCTACTACATACCGAGTATGCGTATACATACGCGTCTTGCGAAATCCTGAAAAGCGAGCGGTCGAGACGCACCTGTCGAAAGTAAACCGAGGGTAATTAATATCCCAGAAATAATTGACACGGCTGAACTAATTTACACTGTGGAACGTCAAAGGACACCTTCGTAGTCAAGTAAGAATTTTCGGGAAGACAATTGGGGGCTTTTAAATATTTTTACGAGTATTTTTTCAGATGCGCCTCGGCGTCGTTTACCTTGCGAGTGCGATCACTCCTGCAGGTGCATAAATAATAATTCTCGGAATGTTTATGCAATGGATATTGCCGAAGCCTTGTGGAAGGAGATTGTCTCTCTCGTGGAGTATGCGAAGGAGCGGTTTTCCAGGATAACGTCATCCACGAAGAACTGGTTTCCTGAATAAATCCTCTCTCGGGGAATTGCGGCCATGAAAAATTGTTTTCGATCGGCGCCTTTCTTCTTCTTTTTTTTCTTCTCCCCCTCTCCCTTTTTTAATCTGCTTTGCTCGCCACCGTCCGTGAGTTGCAAAAATTATTTTCCCTTTTTTCTGGTCGGTCTCTTTGTACGCCTTGTGTCGACGTTAAGTGTACATTAATCTTTGAAATGATTTGTCGAAGAGGCGCAACGAAAGTGGGAGGACTCGAGAAGTTGACGTGATAAAATTCCGCGGTGACGAGATATTTTATAATTTTACGATTATTTAATAGTTATACTTAAATGGGGGAGGTGAGGAGTAGACGATTGCCGTGATAACACCTAATCGGGGAGGGAAATGCTCTTCAGGGTGGTTTCCCTCAATTTTTCCTCTTTCATGGTATTTCATTCCAGCGAAAATATCTCCGATTTTCCATTTACATACTTTGTAGAATTTATTCAATTTATATGATTTTTCAAATTCATCCAGGCGAATTTTAACGGCGTTTATTTGGATTTTCAGAAGGTGGGAGGATTAGTGAACGGAATTTTTATTTCTAGAGTTTTAGTACACCGTTCGTATATTGCAGCTCTTTAATGGCGACTCTCCTTGGTCTGAATTTATTCCACTAATTAATTATAAATTTGTTAATTGTAAATAAAATAAAAAAAAAATAACCAGAAGCTCCCTAGGGTCTCCTGCGTTGCTACGGAGAGATTAAACATCCCTTTGCCGATCAGGATCCCATTAGAGCATCTCGATAATGAGCAAACGGGCGAAATTGGAAGTGGAGCGGAGAAAATGCCGAGATTTTGGAAAATCTCCGGGCAGAATTTATGCAAAGGAAAGGCTTATCTCCGCCTAGGAAAATTTTCCCTGAAGAGGATTTCCCCTCGACATCTCGCGAGTAAGGCGAGGGTGGGTGTCCTTTTCTTATGAAATACGTTGACCGCTTTTCGACTCCGAAAGTCGATTTATTATCCCGGCGGGAGGTCGACCTCTCGCCCCGATTCGCCTCAAGACGATGTCAGGGGATCGATATATCGATCGGCTCTCGAGAGCTTATCCCGGCTCTCGTCAGCCTCCCTCCGCGTAGGGGATGCTTCGTTGTCGACTTTTTCCCTCTCTTTCTTTTTTCCTCCGTCACTTTTCGTTTCCTCTCCTCTATTAAGACATCTCCATCCCTCACCCAATATTCCCCGATCATTCACACCTCCCTTAAATATCGAGATATTAATTTTAAAATTTTAATAAGAAATATCTTTCTACCTTTTCTCATAAGTAATTCTCCTTATTTAAAAAATCCAATTTCGCGGATTTTTTGTTTTTGGAAAAAATCCAATTTAGCGGATTTTATGTTTTTGGAAAAAATCAAATTTAGCGGAATTTTTGTTATTAAAAAAAATCCAGTTTAGCTTAACTCTCCCGAATTATCTCGAGATATCGGATGCTGGACGCTTTCTTGTCTTGGATGACCCTCGAATCGTCTTGACCGAGATGTTGGCCCATTAATAAGTGACCGGTCTTCTACTATTAAACGATTACCCTTCCTATGTGAGTGGCTGTTCATTACGTAAAAGCCGCGCACAGGAACGCAGGTAATCGCGCCGGGTAATTATCCACTTGACAGGACATAATCGCCGGTCGTTCGATCGTGACATAAGACCTTGACATTCAGCGGGGCATCTGGTAGCACCGGGGAAAGGTCGGATGGAAGCCGCCATTTAATGACCCCCTCGATGTCGCGTACTTCCGACATGTCTGTGGCATTGGACAATTGTAAAAAAAAAATCCGATCCACCCTGAGAGAAAAAAAAATTTGTTGGGTTTTAAAAAAACATGCGACAAAATCCTGCGATGGAATTCGTCCAAAGAAGTGTCGGATCGAGGGAAGGGAATTCGTTGAAATTAATAATACTCATTTTTCTCCTCGAGGAAATAATTGTTTCCTGCAATTATTTATGATTCGGGCTTAAAAAAAAATCCGATCCACCCTGTGAAAAAAAAATTGATCGGCTATAAAAAAACATGCGACAAAATCCTGCGATGGAATTCGTCCAAAGAAATGTCGGATCGAGGGAAGGGAATTCGTTGAAATTAATAATACTCATTTTTCTCCTCGAGGAAATAATTGTTTCCTGCAATTATTTATGATTCGGACAACGATATATGTAGGTGTCGAGTAATATTTTTTTTTTCTCAGGGGAGGAGGCAACTGATCGCCTTGTGGGAATTATCCACTGCCTCGAGGTGTTACTTAGGAAGTGACGGATTACCTCTCGACAAAAGATGTCCAATAGAAACGGGGTTAATGGTCCATGGGATGTTTTTGTCTCTTGACATAGAGATTTGATCGAGGACTCGGGTCGCGTGACATGTTACTCGAATCTTGGAGGGGATTTTCTCAGGAGGCCGAAAACTGGCGCGAAAATCAGGAAGGAGATTTTATTCTCCAAGCAGCAGGAAACTCACGGATTAATGGACGTCGCGACGTGACGTCTGACTTCCGACTGACTGATTCTACTTAAAGCGAGTGCTCGTGATCTCGCGACGCCGACTTTGACTTGGAGATTCGGGGCCTTCCTCTTAATCTTCGCATTTCCGGTTCTCGTGTCCATTTCCTGACTCCGAAGGAAACGTGGCGAAATTTTTTATTTTTTTTTCCAAAGGGAAAAAAAAATTCAAAGGAAGGGTTTGCTAGACCCACGGTGGAGGTAGATTGTCCGTCGTGATCCCGAGGTGTTCCACTTCGCTTTTAACTCTGCACATTCATAATTGACATTTAATAATTCTACAAGACTTTTGAAAGGAATTTATTGAAGAAGAAAAAAAATTAAGGGTTTGCCGTATTTATTGAAGAAAAAAAAAATGTCTGGTATGACAACGAGGTTTTCCACTTTGCTCTTAACGAGACGCGATTCGCGATACGATCGTCTTTTAGGCCAGACGATTGAAATCTTCCGCTTTATCGAGCCGATCTACCTCCTTGGCCTTCAAGCAACGTGATAACGAGAGAATCACTGACGTCTCACGCTCCGTACTCGCGTAGAAATAGTGGAACACGTGGCCGGAAAAAGTCGGCGTGACAGGTGCATCCCCAACAAAGCTGCGCCGCCAGAAGGTGCGACCCTGATTGCAGATGTCAGACATCCAAGTTTATGTACACAACGGTCTTGCTGGCGATCACGTGTACTGCACATGCAAATCGCGACGCGACATTTGGTACAATTTTGGCGACTGATGTTATTCCCACTTCCTCGGAGTGGAATTAAAGTTGGGGAAGTCGCTAAGATGAAATGTCAGATGGGACTTTTACAAGGCGACTTGAGGTTGCAAGGAATCATTCGTGGATCTTATTGACGGATAAAAATCCCGACGCGACATTTTATGCCATTATGGCGACCGATTTAATTCCCCACTTCCTGAGAGTGGAATTAATGTTGGGGAAGTCGCTAAGATGAAATGTCAGATGGGATTTCTGCAAGGCGACTTGAGGTTGCAAGGGACCATTGGATCGCAAGGGACCATTCGTGGATCTCATTGACAGATAAAAATCCCGACGCGACATTTTATGCCATTATGGCGACCGATTTAATTCCCCACTTCCTGAGAGTGGAATTAAAGTTGGGAAAGTCGCAAAGATGAAATGTCAGATGGGACTTTTACAAGGCGTCTCGAGGTTGCAAGGGACCATTGGATCGCAAGGGACCATTCATGGGTCTCATTCATGGGGAGCCGCTCGGCTGGCGGTAATTGTGGTCTAGAGTGGTGCACGCGATGTCAATGGGGTTGCATTACCTTCCGGGGGTGGCGGCGACCTCGAGGAAATTGTACCTCGTTCGATGACCGACACCGGAGGCGAAATATCGAGGGGAAGGATGGAATCGAGGAAGCGGAGTCTTCTGACGGGGGCGCCACGTGGCACTTGCAATCTTTCAATTCATCTCTCGAGCCCGCCGCGAGGAAGTGCAATTATGGAGCCGCGTGGATGCGAAAGGGCGCCCACGCGGCCTTAATCGCCCTCGAATTGAATCGAGGAATTAAGAGACGCCGAATCTAGGGCTCGATCTTTCAGACAAGTCCGTAGAGACGAGACCGACCCATTTTCCTGACATTCGGAAGGAACTATTAGACGTTCTCGACAATCCGCGATAATTCCTGATTCTCATTATTCGGGAATCTCGGAGTAGTCGTCTCAAACCTGCACTTAGCAAGTACTCCGGGACGAGTGGAGTAATTGCCGCACTTGCGGCGCCTCGTACCTCGTGACGTCACGTGAGCCGAATTCCGGAAAAACGAGCCAGCGAGTCCTTGAAAGGAAACGCTAGGATAACAACCATAAGTCGGCCCCATTCATCTCGATAGGTGCCGATGTCGTTATTCTAATTACAAGGCGGCAAGCCCGTTTCCGCACTAATCATCTCAACTGCGTCTAAACTGCGTCGTAAACGCACGTTTCAATGAAACTGCTCCCGTCCATTATTAACCGAAATACCTCCACATTGGCTAAACTTCGAAAAATTAATATCAGGATTTAATGGTAATTATTACTACCGAACATGAAATTCGGTTCGCTCCTCCGCAATTAATTTCTGCGATTGACCAAATTTATTTTAGGGGTTGAATTTTTTTCTTTTCTGCACCCAGCCACATTTATTGGCGATCGAGAGGGATTAATATCGATTAATGTGCGTTCTTATCGAGGATATTTCTATTTTCAGACCGTGGATGCAGGCGGGGGTGGCAGGCGGGGGTGGCCCCGGCCACGTGGGCCCGGGGGGTGGAACAGGTGACGACGAGGCGCCGAAGGACCCTGGAGTCAGGATCACCCACCAGTCCTATACCGAGAAGGACTTCGAGGGTGAGAATTTCACTCTTATCGACTCTTATCAACCCCGTCATCCCTTGATCGGCGTCGGCCGGATTGTCGTCGGTGATTACGGCGCGTCCACCCTACGGCTTCCGCGTGTCACCACGGGGACCCACCCACGCCGCGGTGCTTCAAAAATCGTTAGCGGCAGTTGCAGCTGTAACTGCAACTACTAGACCGGTGACAAGCTGACCCCGTGACCTGTAATCGGCGCCCCTGGTCACTTCTAATCGGCACAACCATAATCACCGAGAATGAATTAATATTTGTGCCCATAATTATGAAAGTGGTCTAAGTCAAAATTGAAAAAAAAATGAGTTTATCAGTTATTTCACGCTACATTATTTCTAACTAAATTAATTCAATGTAATTTCGAAACAAAAAATATATGACTTAGACCACTTTCATAATTATGGGCACATTTGATTTGATACATTACTTAACGAGTCAATTATTCGATCAATCAATTTCTGACCTGACAGGTCGCAATTCCGGATTTTTTGTGTTCTACCTAATTAATGCAGATTAGGGGTGCACTGCTGATCGGTGCACCTGAAATCACCGGGGGTTAGTGGATTAATAAATTATTGAATTAATCGAAATGTCAATCCCTGACCTATCCACAGGTCGGGGTCCTCGCGTTACGTTTTCACCCACACTCTCGATTTGTGGCACAATGGAAGGTTTATATCGTTCATTGATTGGGTATTTTCCGTTAGCTACACGTTTAACCTAGATTCGTTCACCTTCGTGTATCGCGTCGAGTCTATTTCTGCGGCGGGGAAATATGTATGTCTCTATGTGACGGCCGGCCATTCTCCGGGTGACCGGGAAAGGGGCGGTGGAATCAATTTTAAGAACCTGGGAAAAGACTCCCGTCCACCTGCTATCTTCCGGTCGGAGAAGTCATGAAAATTGGATGGCCGGCCACCGATAAATCTGGGACGTTTTCCAGGTCACAGGGCACACACCGTTTACGTCGGCGTCCATCTTCCCGGAGAGCGTAGACACCGACGTCACCACAAGCACCACCACTCAAGGCAGGCCGGAATCAATGGCAAGGAAGAAAATGACACCGAGAGACCCAGTAAGTGCATCGCGACTTGCAACTCTCCCTGACGCCCTTAAGGTGACGCGAAAGTGACGGCCGAGGGGTCAGTCGGTTGGAGAACTTTTTTCCCGAGCCATTTCCGTCGTTTCCAAAATTCACCACGTGGACGTGGACGCTCTAAAGAACGGCCTGTCTCCCGTGCGTTTTTTTTTTCTCTCATAAATATTCTTAATTATAATTTATTAATTATAATTTCTTGTAAAATATTCAGTCTCATGGGTGTCGAGACCTTCCTTAGGGTATTCATATTCAGATGGTAGAATCTCGAAATTTTCTATTAACTCTGGGTGGAGAAAAGTGTCATGTAGACTCTTGGGACGCCACTTTGGGGTCGCCTTAAGTTCTTCGCCCGTTTCGCCCTCTACGGAGAACGGGGAGGTGCGTTTCTTCGGCGACTTCGACGTAAGGGAGCTTCGATGTCCCTCTCCCGTGTTTTGGAGGCAATCAAGAGAAAGATGCAGAGGAAATGGATGCACTTGGGGTTCGATTACGTCGCCGTAATGTAACCACCCATATATGGCAGTCGGCCAATCACTTGTCGAGACCCTTAACCACTTCTCGACTATTCTACGACGATCCACCTACATTCCTGAAATCACGGGCCGATTGTTATCGAAACATATCGGCCCCATTCCGACACGATCGATACCGATCGATTGGGTCGCTGTTGAACCATTTTCCTCCTAGATCCGCCGTCAGCTTCCTATCTGAAATGACGGAATGATGTCAAGATGGCGCCGAGCCGATAATTCCAGATTCGATCGATACACGCGCGACGAGTAGCCTTATCTAACTCGATCGAGAAAATTCGAGATTGAATTCCCCCCGGACTCGGAGAGTTTAAGTCCTTATCCGAGGAGCACTCGGAAATCAGCCTTCCGTAATAAATCGCCATTGATTTAATGTACAATAAAAAGTACAATTAGTAAGTGAGGTCCAAAGATTTCTAACGATTTTCCGTGATTTCTAGGGATTTTTCAGGGATTTTCAGTGACTTCTTTCTACTTCCTACGTTTAAGGTGATGCGAAAGTGGCGGGTCAAAGAGGTCTCGTTTGTGAAGCTTCCCTTAAGACATGGTGTACCGAATTCTACGAAACTTTCCAACGTGAATATGGAGGCTATAAGGAAAGTCTAGAAACCCTTAAAATTTAAATCTGTCAAAAATTTCTTTATGGATAATTTTCAATTTCTGATAATAATTGAAATTCCTTATAGCCTCCATATTCACGTTGTAAAGTTTGAAACGATTCGGTACGTCGAGTTTCATGAACGATTGACTTTTACATCCCCTTAAACCAGTTTCGTCGTCGACTCCAGAATAATTTCGAGGTTATACTTAATTTTAGTGATTCTAACGAAGTCCAGGCCTTAAAATGCATGATTTCGCGAGCGAGTATCCCTTCGTCCTTGTCCAACGTGGTCGTTCTCATTGATCTTGCAGGACAATTGATGATGCCTCTGCGGGGTCGTCTTGCTAGCATCTGCGACCCTGACGGCGAGATGATATGTAAGCTTTCTTCATCCACGCACACACACGAGCACTTGTGACGGTTTAAAACTATTCACCGGGGTTGGCGGAAACCCAGGAACGTTTCTACACCCCTTTTCTCTCCATAGACCTTGCCCTGTATGTTCCTCCGCCATGCACCCTGAATGTTTTCCGTTTCTTAGTGGACTTTACTCTGGATGTTGTCAACTTCTCATCGAGCCAACCCTGGACAAGACGAGAGGAGTCACTTTTACATACACTTTTGGGAACCACCCCACACAGTAGTCACCTTAAGGCGACCTGAAAGCGGCGACAAGGTCTCGTTTACGAAACTTCTCCGGACTGAATGCACCGAATCGTTTGAAACTTTAGAACGTGATTATCGAGGCGATAAGAAAGGTCCCGACACCCGTGAAAATTCAATTCTTTAAAAATCTGTTCATAAATATTTAAAAGGAATTTTTTTTTAACTCAAATCTCATGAGCGTCGACCTCAATATTCACGTTGTAAGGTTTAGAGGGAATCGGTACACCCAGGGGAAATGGCTTCATGGACGATTGACTTCTTAGATGCCACTTTGACATCCTCTTAATTGTCACTGTGCATGATTTTTTATTTTTTTTTTTTATTTAGCGGCTTTGCCATTGGGCAGTTCTTTTCTCGGGGGCCAAGATGGCCGCCGAGTAGCGCGCGTTCAGGTTCGTGGCTTGGCACCCTCGACCAGAGGTTGCGGCTGTTTTACTCGTCGTTTATTCGACCCTCCTTCGTTTTCTTTCCCTTCGATGTCCTCTTTGTCGACCTAGCCAGGAGATTCGCTTGCGGACACCCGGACACAAGATGGCGCATGCACCCGGCCAGGGTTCTGGGCGTTTTCGTTCTCCCCTTTTCCTTTATTCGCTATCTCGTCTCCTCCGTTATTTCTAGACGTTATCTTGCAACATTTGTTTCCGCTTTTTATTTACAGTCACCCCACCGGCCCAGAGGGTGCAGTTCATCCTCGGGGAGGAGGTCGGGGACGACGCCCACGAGTCGCATCCGCTCTTCTCCGAGATGGAGGAACTCGTCAGGGACGGAGACGAGATGGAATGGAAGGAAACCGCCAGGTAGGTTTTATTTTATTTTTATTTTTTGAGTACCTCCCGCAGAAGGATAGGGAGATTCTGCAGGGAGAAACGGTGGGTTCTTAAGGTGAAGTGAAACACGTCGAGAAACTTGATCAACGTCGATAAAGAAGATTTTTCTAAATGCCTACGTTGCCGACGTTCGTTTTTATATTGACAGCTGGGTCGAATTATATTGGGTATTGTACCAAATGGCATATTCCACCTGTCGTTTTCGTACAATAATTATAAAGAAATCGAAGTAAAACTCCAGAAATCCTCTGAATTCATGCCTTCTGGGGCCCTAATTGACTGCGGAGGGACCCCTTGCGCCATCTGTGATTTCCAGGCCAATTAAATTTTCACTCCGAGACCTCGTATTCCCATTGTTTTAGCAAAGAAGCGCATACAACACTTGTTTTGCCTTTATCCCGTTCAAATGCGAGTTTATCGATTACCAGAGTGTTCTAAATTCTCGTAAAATTGTCCTGACCCTTTCGATTCTCATATCAGAGCCTTCGATAATTGTATATCGATCGAAATATGATAGCTCGACGCCATTTTGGTTCTGGTCTGGACTGAGTTAAAAAATTTTCTTGAAAAATCCAAATTTTCAATGTGTCAGGACAATTCTTAGATGATCAGGAGTGACGTGTCAAGGTTTCGGACAGTTTGGTCAAATACCCTTAAAAAAAAGTGTTGTATTCGAATCGACTGATTTGAAGGATGTTTCACTTCACCTTAAGGAGGCCTCGAGATTCTGACTTCCTCTTCCAGATGGATCAAATTCGAGGAGGACGTCGAAGAGGGCGGAAACAGGTGGAGCAAACCTCATGTAGCGACGCTCTCCTTGCATTCCCTTTTCGAGTTAAGGAGTCTCCTGCTGAATGGCACCGTCATGTTGGACATGGAGGCCAGCAGTCTGGAACAAGTCGCGGATCTTGTCCTGGACAACATGATCAACAAGGCTGTCTTGCCGCTGGACGCGAGGGAGAAGGTGAGGAGCCCCAAAAGGAAGAATTTGTTTCCCTGGATATTAATTCCTCTCGCCTGAATATTATTATTTTTTTAATAGTTAATTCCTCGATATTAATTCCGGAGTAACTCGTATCCCCTCCAGGTGAAGGAGGCCCTTCTGGTGAGACATCGACACCAACACGAGAGGCGCAAGGAGAACAACATGTCCAGGCTTCCGATCATCAGGTCTCTCGCGGAGATCGGCAGAAATCACTCGTCCTCCAAGAGTAAGTCTCACCTTTGCCCTCGATTCTCGATTGAACGTAACAAAAATCTGAGAACAGGGATCTCTAAACTGGCAGCATCCGAGAGAGGCACCGTAAGATCCCGAATTTCTGCCGGAAATGTCTAAAAGCGATCATCGTCGCCGATCGTGCTTTTTCAAGATGGCCGCCGACCCGCTCTAGACTCCTTCCCTCTGCTCCATTATTTTATATTAATTTATTACGACGAGATGATGCCCTCGGAAGAGTCACGATCTCACCGCGATCGACTCTTCGATCCTTTGATTTGATTTTAATTTATGTTCGATTGATTTGGCTTTACTTTAAGTTAATTTAAGTTGCATTAATTCGATTACTTTCTGTTATATGTTATTCCTGGTTTCCAATTTCTAAGAGGGTGGCCCGACGCGAATTTTCAGATTCTGACTGTACCTGTGGTATGCAAGGGTTGTTCACGTCAGATTTGCAGGAGCGTCGCGACGCCGGGCAGGCGTATGCCCCTGCAGGGGCGACGGTGGCTCGCAGCACGAGCTGCCCCAACCCGAACACGGCTCTACTCTCGAAAGAGGCGAAAGACCTCAAAGGACCTTACCTTCTGGTTCCAGGTACTTTCTAGGCCAGTCGCTGAAAGCCGCTCGAAAATGTCCACGGAGCTTCTGGGAAGCTTTTCCGAAAGCGCCTCGGGGACGCCTCTCAGGCCCTTTTCCTCCCCCTTGGGGGGTGGGACCGATATCTCGCTAACTAACCTTACTTTCCCGACCAGCTACTCTAACATTTAGCGATTTAACCTCCGATTAACCTCCCTGGGAAAAATTTCTACGACCTCTGAAAAAAAAAAAAAAAGACTCTCTCGGCTCTCTCGGGACGCACCCAATTTTTCCCGATTTCTTCTTTTCTTTTTGGTCAGCTGAGTTCGGCATCCCCCACGTAGTAGGATTCACCACGTGGTTCGCGATGTGCCCCCTCAAAGGTTAGATCGATTGATTTAATTTCATTGGATTTTCTTATCACTCGATTCGAGCCTTTCTCGAATCTCTCCTCCTCCAGTTTGCTGTTCTCTCTTTGTGATATTTTTCTCGCCTCGGACTTTTTCTCTGAGTAATTGTCGACCTCGGTGCATCTGTATGTCTCGAAGTTTACGTGTCATCGACTCTGCATATTCATATTTCATTCATCAGTGGGGCAGATTTTTATCGATCACGTGTCAAGAATTTTTCCCCGGTGACTTTGTTAATTAAGTACCTGCACGAGTTTGTTGGACATGTCTCGGACATCTCATGTTAATTCCGTTCCCGTAGCAGGGGATCGTTGGCGGTGGAGATTAAATCCGCAAGAATCGGTCTTGATTCAGTGAACGATATCTAATCTACGGAATTGCGAGCCGGGATTGATTCACACGAATCGACGCCGATATATCTGTGCGATCCGTCGATAGCTCGCGTCATCGATTCATCGATCTGCCGATAGGAAACTGGATCATCCGGGGGCCATCCTCTCTTCGTCCACTCATCGACGACTTAATCAATTTTTTATCACAGCATGATCGTCTCTCCGCCCGCTGTTATCTGTATTTCTCTTTCTCCTCATTTTTATTCTTTCGCTGCACTGTAAAAGGCCCAGGAAAATTGTACAGCTTCCTGAAATCTTCCCGATATTAAATACCTGCACCCCCTGAATGCACGATTTTCTTCGATTAATATTTAATAATTACCTCCCTAATCAGGTGCGAAAAAAATCATGCGACGGAATCTACTAACTATTGCATATAGATTCACTGGAAAAAGTACTTATTCTCTCTGAATTCCCTCACTTCGGGAATTCCGAGCACTGTCAGTGTTCGATTTAACCGAGGCTTTTACAGTGTGCGCACGTTAACATTTAATTAATATTTATTTCGTTGTTTTTGATGTACCTCATGCGGTCGTATGTGTCGGTGTACTTCTCGGCGAGGACCTCCGATTCTTCGATTTTCGGATTTCGACTTCCGCCCCCCTGGCTTTGTACCTTTCGAGCTCTCGTACCTTTTTGCACTCTTTGCTCGGGAGAAGGCCTCCTTGTTTATAGAGACAATACCCCTGGTGTGTTTCGTGATTTATAGTGGAAGAGTCGAATTCCGCGCCGGCGATCGCCGGGGCGAATCAAGCCAGTGCTGCTGGGCTGAACGTGGGTGGCCGGTTCCTTACTATTCCCGGGAGTTTCGGTAAAAGGCTTATTCAATAACCGGAAATAACGTTTGGCAAGAAGCTTCCTCCCTTTCGAGCTTCCCGAGCGACCTGTACGATGGGAGAAGAGAAATCCACCCTAACCGAGGAAACATGTTTTCCAGGGGTACCAAAGAAATCTATAAACTCAAAAAATCATCATAATTTATTAAGATGAAGTGAAACACGTCGAGGAACTTGATCGACGTCGATAAAGAAGATTTTTCTAAATGCCTACGTTGCAGACGTTGGTTTTTATATTGACAGCTGTTTCGAACTATATTGGGTATTGTACCAAATGGCCTACTCCACCTGTCGTTTTCGTACAATAATTATTAAGAAATCGAAGTAAAACTCCAGAAATCCTCTGGATTCATGCTTTCTGGGGCCCTAATTGACTGCAGAGGGACCCCCTGCGCCATCTGTGATTTCCAGGTCAATTAAATTTTCACTCCGAGACCTCGTATTACCATCGTTTTAGCATAGAAGCGCATACAACACTTTTTTTGCCCTTATCCCGTTCAAATGCGAGTTTATCGATTACCAGAGTGTTCTAAATTCTCGTAAAATTGTCCTGACCCTTTCGATTCTCATATCAAAGCCTTCGATAATTGTACATTGATCGAAATATGAGAGCTCGCCGCCACTTTGGTTCTGGTCTGGGCTGAGTTAAAAGATTTTATTAAAAAATCCAAATAATGAACGTGTCAGGACAATTCTTAGATGATCTGAAGTGACGTGTCAAAGTTTCGGACAGTTTGGTCTAATACCCTTAAAAAAAAGTGTTGTTTTCGAATCGACTGATTTGAAGGGTGTTTCACTTCACCTTAAGAACTGCTGCATCCAATTTATTCATTTTTATCCCAGTCAAATAATTATTCTCTGGATTAATAAAACATTTCCTTGGTTCGGTGAGATTTTCTTCTCAGTGTAGAACACCTGTAGTTCCTCCTTGCCTCACCTGTAGAATCCCTCGCCTGGTGTGCCGATCTTCTGGACTTCGATGCACCTGTATGACAATGTACTCCAGGGTAAAAATTTAATGTAAAAGAAATTTACGGAGCTAATTGGATATTAAACATTTCTCCATAAAACGAGAGGCATGCTTTCCGCGCTCTCGGGTAGTCGTTATCGATATCGATGATTAATCAATCATCCCTGGTAAATGTATTTTCTGTTGACCCGCACTCAATGCAATTGCAGCTTGAGTTGGAATTATTCCTTCTAGTTATTTCCATTCCTCGAAATTAGTAAAAATTCATATCAACTTTTCGTGGTAATTAATTTCCTGCTTCGTGGATTTTTTGTTTTCTCTTCTTTATGGTCGTGTTTATTGAAACAGAGGGAAGTTTTGCATTCGAGGTCCAGAAATTCCCCTGCAGGTGCGGCCAGAATTTCGGGGACTCGCTAGGAGCGAGATTTTCCAGCTTTTTGGCCGCAGCTGTGAAAAAAGCGCTGCATGTTTGCGCTTTTCCAGCTTGTCTATTAATTAGAGGTCGTGCAGTAGGCAGTAAGCTAGATTTTTTGCAGGCCAAGAGCCAGGGACGAACGGGATGGATCGGAGTCCCAGCAGCGTCTCCATCAGCAGGAATCACAGCTCTTCCGGCCTGGAAAATGGCGACGCCAATCACAAGGTGATGCCTCGATTAAAAAAAGAAAAAAGAAGGGAAAAAGTCATGTCAAGAAATCCCGGAAAACTTGAATTGCTCCTTACGAACTGTTCCACCCGTTCTCCGGGATCTTCTTCCTGACCTTCATTCCTGAGGAGGGGTTTCCCGAAAAGCTCCACCAGGACTCGAGGACTTTAACGACCCTCCTAACACTTCCTCTGCTCTTCAGGGTAATACGCACTTCATGCGAAAGATCCCTCAGGGGGCAGAGGCCAGCAACATCCTCGTCGGCGAGGTCGACTTCCTGGACAAGCCTTTGTCTGCCTTTATTCGCCTGAGCCAGGCTTGCATAATGGGCGACTTGACGGAAGTTCCGGTTCCTACGAGATTCCTCTTCGTCCTTCTGGGGCCAAGGGTAAGGACTGAGAGATCTCGATCTTCGAATTGTCCTCTCGGAAAGATCGATCCAAGGTTTGGGTGGAGGAGCCAAAACGACTTCTAAAACTAGATCCTCGATTCCAGGGCGGAATCGCGGGCTTCCACGAGATCGGCAGGGCAATGGCGACCCTGATGTCGGACGAGGTCTTCCATGACGTCGCTTATAAAGCGAAGAACAGGAACCATCTTTTAGCGGGCGTTGACGAATTCTTGGACGCCGTCACTGTTTTACCTCCAGGGGAATGGGACCCTACCATCAGGATAGAACCCCCGGCTGCAATCCCGTCTCAGGTGAGAACACACATTTGCAGTTCCATATCCTTCCTATTTCTTTTTTTTCTTTTACCTGGACCTGAAGCCCATGGAAAATTAATTTGGTAATAGGTACCAAGAGACGTGAAAGAAAAATACACCTAAGGGAATTTATTTAATGCACTTCCGGTCGCAGGACACCAGGAAAAGGCCGAAGGAGGAGAAACCTAAGGAGGACGTGGACGAGGAAGCCGACGAGCAGAAGCAGAGAGAGGAGTCCGGTCTCTCCAGGACTGGAAGACTCTTCGGGGGTCTTGTCAACGATATCAAGAGGAAGGCGCCATTTTATTGGTCCGATTTCAAGGACGCCCTCGCCCTGCAATGCGTGGCCTCCTTTATTTTCTTGTACTTCGCCTGCCTTTCGCCGATCATCACCTTTGGGGGTCTCCTCAGCGAGGCTACGGGGAAGAACATGGCCGCCATGGAGTCCCTCGTCTCGGGATTCGTCTGTGGGATCGGTTATGGATTTTTCTCCGGACAGCCATTGACCATCCTCGGGTCCACGGGGCCCGTTTTGGTCTTCGAGACGATCGTCTTCGAGTTCTGCAAGTAAGGGGTCCACCTATTCGAGGGAAATTCAGACCCACACGCGGTGAGCATTTTTATAGGTAGATGCTTCCTATTGATGGGTTTTATCCACCCTGTTTATAGGCAGTCGAACTGGAATTACATGTCCTTTCGGTTCTGGATCGGTACTTGGATCGCCGTCATCCTGCTCATCCTCGTGGCCATTGACGCGAGTGCTTTGGTCTGCTACATCACGAGATTCACCGAGGAGAACTTCGCCACCCTCATCGCGTTCATCTTCATCTACAAGGTGAAGTCACCCTTATTTTCATTTACGAAATAAAATCCCCCTCGCCTTCATCCAGAAATTAAAATCGTCTTCATCTACATCTAGAAGGTAAAGTGAGCTACAAAGTGGAGGGCTTCGAGGACCGGCTCTTGCGAGGTACCCTGTAATCATCCAACTCTCTAATTTCCTGGCGAATTGCTCGCTGCATTGACCTCCATCCCCGGTCTTTTTTTTTTTTTTTTTTTTTTTCTAAAAGGTACAAGACTCACCTTGTCGCCCACCTGAATTATTCCCGTCGAGGTTCCTTCACCTCTCTCGAAGGCAAGGTGGAGGGTCGACGGAACGGTCCCCGGGGTGATTTATTCCCCTGATTACGTAAAGTTCGGTCGACCTTCGACCGACGCTGCCGAGGCACGCGAGGTCGAGGTCTAATTGCAGGGGACCTCAGTAGTAAACGCCGACTAGGTGCAAAATCAGCGAAAACTCGAACATCTGGGTCGAGTGGTCGATGGGAAAGACACCGAAAGTGTACCCTCTATCCCCCGGGTCTTGATATTCTCAGGCTTCCCGGATAAAGCACTTGAGTGGTTTAAAGTTGCGGCCTGGAGTCGATGAACGACCTTTGGTGAAATGAGCTCGACGCTGACGTCGTAGCCATTTTTTAATTGCCTCTTACACCCCTCACATAGCGCGGCGTAAAGAAAAAACAGCGAAATGTTCAGCTGAAAATTTTTCCATTTTTTTTCCAGGCGGTGGAGAACGTCCTATCAATTGGGAAGAAGTTCCCCTTGAACATGCACACGGCAGAATTCGATGGTTTAGATTGTTGGTGCCGACCTCCGAACTATTCCCTCCCTGCGAGCTACGATCGCGTCAATTGGACCGCGATGGATCGGACAGTTTGTCAGGTAAGGAAAATAAAAAAATCACCCCCTGCGACCTGGGATTTATCTCTCCCCCTTTACCTGTAAATTTATAAAGACGTCCCTAAATCCTAGGAATTAATTCCAGAGTTACAATGGCACTATGGAGGGCGATGGCTGCGAAGTTCCTCAGTACGTCCCCGACGTGTTCCTCATGTCCATCATCTTGTTCATGGGCACCTTCCTGTTATCCATAGAATTAAAGGACTTCAAGAACGCCCTCTTCTTCCCCTCGAAGGTGAGCCACTACTTGGTGCGCCGCTAATTGTTGATATTTAATTTATTACCGATTATTCATCATCGACGATGACCCCCAGGTTAGGCAGATCGTCAGCGATTTCGCGGTGATAATCGCCATCCTCTCCATGTCGAGTCTGGATTATTTCGTGGGGATTCGCACCCCGAAATTGGAGGTCCCTAGGGAGTTCAAGCCGACCCTGGAAGACCGAGGATGGATGATATGGCCCTTCCAACATAATCCATGGTGGAGTGCCATCGTCGCCTCTTTGCCCGCTCTCCTGGGCACCATCCTCATCTTCATGGACCAGCAGATCACCGCGGTCATTGTCAACCGCAAGGAGAACAAGCTGAAGGTGCGCTGAAAATCCGATTCGATATTATTTATTAATTACTGGGAGGTGGTCATTTTTTTTTTTTTTTCGTTTCTCGTACCTCTTGTAGAAGGGGTGCGGCTATCATCTGGACCTCTTTGTTCTGGCGGTCCTGATCGAGATCTGCTCCGTGATGGGTCTTCCTTGGTTCGTCGCTGCCACTGTCCTGTCGATTAATCACGTGAATTCCCTGAAACTCGAGTCGGAGTGTGCCGCTCCAGGAGAGAAACCCCAGTTTTTAGGGGTTCGCGAACAGAGGGCGACGCACATCCTGATCTTCCTCATGATCGGGTGCTCGGTCTTCCTGACCCCGATGTTGAGCCACATCCCGATGCCGGTGCTCTTCGGGGTCTTCTTGTACATGGGCGTCGCGTCCTTGAAAGGCCTTCAATTCTTCGACAGGATCCTCATCATGCTGATGCCGGTCAAGTACCAGCCGGACTACATGTTCCTTCGACAGGTGGGTGTCGATGCCTCCTAATAAAAATCTTCCTATCGCTATTCGTGCCTTATTTTATATCAACTTTCCCGCTTCCAGGTTCCTCTGAAGCGAGTGCACATGTTCACCATGATCCAGCTCACCTGCCTCGCCTGCCTCTGGATCATAAAATCTTTCAGCACGACCTCCATTCTTTTCCCACTCATGGTGAGTCAAGCGACTTCGTTTTAACGCGCAGGAAAATATTTTTATCCGTAAAAAAAAAATTATCACCGCAGAATTCTTGGATTAAGACATTTTGGCTGATAGCGTCTAACAATAAGATCGTGGCAGATCGATGTGTATTCGGTTCATGAAGAAATTTTTTGAAATTTTACTGATATTTATTTTTTTTCTCCCCAGCTGGTCGTGATGATCGGCATTAGGAAGTCCCTAGACTTCGTCTTCACCCAGAGGGAGCTGAAGATCCTCGACGACGTGATGCCGGAGCCTTCTAAAAAACACGCCGACGACCTGCGACAATTGGAAAGCGGCGAGGTTAGCACTGCGACGCGAATCCTACGAGCTATAATTTGTCGCAAATAGCATTTGTCTGGTGACCGCGGGAAAAGCTGACCCGTGATCACCGTAGCCATAAGCGACTGCGATAAGATAGCCTTAACTGGCCGCAAGTAATTCCCCAGGAGAGGTAATCGCAAGGGGTTGCGATCAAGGGAAAGACCCGCTGAAGGGCCTTCATCGATATCGACACCGATTAAGTAGGACAATTCGGACCAGTTTAATTGAATTAAAGTACGTTAAGACCACGGTGTTCGTTTACGGAGGGCTAGCCGACGCTTATCCGTCACTTCTCACCCTGATAACACCCGCCGCCGTAAGCGTCGTTCGACCTAAAGTTGACTTAATGTTTAAGTAATCGGGGACTGTTCGCGGAAACGATGTCACCGAATGATCAGAAATCACAAACCAACTCGATAATCGGTGGCTGAATTTTTTGTCCGATTTTAGCGAGCCACGTTAATGCCTAGTAATTCGAATTCTTGTGGCGTGCAAGGACCCATCGATGATTACCGAACAAATTTTTGTACTTATTAGAGAAATGGACGAATCAGATTAGTCGTATTTGAGGATCGATAATAAATACTCTCGGAAATTCAGTGATCTCGAGGGATCCTGTATTTTTTGTTCTTTCTTTTCTTGGAGCTCAGGTTTTTTCGAATGGTCCTTGATTATATGGCAGAAGCAACGACCCTCGCGAAGACGTTCCATGTTGATAAGAGATAGGCGGACGAATCGTGGCGTCCATTTTTTTGGATCTGCCTATTGTTAGGAGGGACGAAACTCTTAAGCCATTCAATTGTGGATCGAGGATCGATTGCAGAGGTATGGAGAGCTGCCACTTAGAACAGACTTATAATTACATAGGTTCAATTAGAGTTAGTCAAGGCTTTGCGGCGTTTAATGCTTAAAAAAGAAGAAAAAAAAAAAAAGGAAACATTCACAAGCGACTCTCGTCGGGCTTACTCGCTTGCTCGTTCGAGCACTCTTCACTGATAAAAATCGATGGGAATTTACATAAATTTTTTATTCATACTGGTTTCGCGCGGGAAAGATGTAAATTGGAAGAATGAAAAATTGCAAAATGTATAAACACACGTTACAGTGGACATTTTTTCGTATCAGCGAATTTATATTCGGATTAAATGCAATCTGATAAGATGTAATTTTACTGTAATTTATCGTGGAATCGAAATGACGATTATGCAAATTTACCGAATTTTTATCAGTGCTCATCTCTCATACTTCATCCGCTCCCTCGTGATTATTATCATTGTAATTAAAATTGACGATTTGGTGCAATGGAGGCGATATTAAGCGAGTAGAGCCGGCGAGTACGAATCCAGTGATTACCCTCTTCGGGGTGATTTTTGATCGATTGATTATCGGGAGTATATATCATGACTTCGCTCGTTATCGCTCGCTGTTAATCGTTATCGCTCGTCTCTTGTGAGATACAATCCGGAAAGGGATACGAAAAGGACGTAAAAAAAGAGCCTCGCCATCTCCCGCCCGTCATTGGTCCATCCGCAGATGCACGCCCGTCATTCCTGAACGTCATCGAATCATCTCGATGCATGGCTCTGCACCACGCATCATCCTAGACTAGGCCGTAGACTAGATGCGACTAAAGTGCAGTTGCATCCTTGATTGAATCACTCAGGACCAGAGCGAGCCCCTCGGCTTCGGGGCCTCGGGGAACCTGCAGATCCCCCTAGCCAATGGGAACATCATGAAGATCCCTCTGACCAGCATCAACATCACCGAGGAGGTCAACAAGACCGGAATCTGGCAGCAGGTGAACGAGGGCAACGCCAATGAGAAGTGCAAGCCTCCGAAGATGATCAAGTACGTCGATTATCCCCCAAAACGCGACTTACGAAAAACTCCCACGCGACCTCGATTTAATTCCCCAGGATTAATCGAGATGTTACGGTGAAACACCGAAATCTGGAGAATGTCGAATTTCACCGGTGAATGTCAACATTCACATAGTCGCTTGGTGTATGTCCGAAATATTTGCTAAATACCCTTATTTCTGACTTACACCGGTAAATGTTGACATTCACCTTGCACTAATATCTGTGATTGTCGACACACACTGGAGAGGGTCCGAATGTACAACAATGTAATAAAATATTCGATCTTTCACCGACGTATTTGGTATCTGTTGACATTCACCGGTGAAAGTCGACATTCTCCAATTTCGGTCATTCACCGTAACAGATATACTTCAATCTGCTGATCCTTAACTCCTTGAACGAATCTTCATTTGTGGGAATTTTTATTTGTGAGAGAAAAATTGTTCTTTTACATGTAGGAACGAAGTATCGAGGAATTAATTAATGCAGGAGATTGCTTCGTGGGAAAGGGATGATTTTGAAGTTTTATCAATTTTTTTAAGGGAATTTTCATGGAATGATGCTTGCGATTTTATTCCCCAGGATTAATCGATATACTTCAATCAGCTGATCCTTAACTCCTTGAACGAATCTTCATTTGTGGGAATTTTCATTTGTGCGAGAAAAATTGTTCTTTTCCACGTAGGAACGAGATATCGAGGAATTAATTAATCCAGGGGATTGCTTCGTGGGAAAGAGATGATTTTGAAGTTTTATCAATTTTTTGAAGGGAATTTTCATGGAATGATGCATTTATTTGTGAGAGAAAAATTATTCTTTTCCATGTAGGAACGAAGTATCGAGGAATTAATTAATGCAGGGGATTGCTTCGTGGGAAAGGGATGATTTTGAAGTTTTATCAATTTTCGGAAGGGAATTTTCATGGAATGATGCATTTATTTGTGAGAGAAAAATTGTTCTTTTCCATGTAGGAACGAAGTATCGAGGAATTAATTAATGCAGGGGATTGCTTCGTAGGAAAGAGATGATTTTGAAGTTTTATCAATTTTTTGAAGGGAATTTTCATGGAATGATGCATTGTTTTTTTTTTCTCTCTCTCGACCGATGCAGCGTGGGGAAGCAGAAGAAGCACTCGAAGAACGATGGCGCTCTTTTGGCTGACGAGACCACCAGGCTCACCACCATGACGGAGGAGGAAGAGGAGGACTGTGGGATCTCTATCAAGGTGACGAGCGTAAATGACTCTAAATTCTAACCACGACCACCACCGACACCACCAAACAATGCAAGCGACACACGCGCAATGGCGACCGCACCAAAAACACCGGCATGCGACACTTCCCAATGCACCGGGGCTGTGAGTAAACTGGAGATCCCTCGCGATGGCAGCGCCTCACTCGAAACCCTTAACAAAATTCCAATTAATTAAACAAAACACGGCGAGGTGAAGTGAAACATCCTTCAAATCAGTCGATTCTAATACAACACTTTTTTTTAAGGGTATTAGACCAAACTGTCCGAAACTTTGACACATCACTCCTAATCATCTAAGAATTGTCCTGACACATTGAAAATTTGGATTTTTCAAGAAAATTTTTTAACTCAGTCCCGACCAGAACCAAAATGGCGTCGAGCTCTCATATTTCGATCAATATACAATTATCGAAGGCTCTGATATGAGAATCGAAAGGGTCAGGACAATTTTACGAGAATTTAGAACACTCTGGTAATCGATAAACTCGCATTTGAACGGGATAAAGGCAAAAAAAGTGTTGTATGCGCTTCTTTGCTAAAATGATGGTAATACGAGGTCTCGGAGTGAAAATTTAATTGGCCTGGAAATCACAGATGGCGCAAGGGGTCCCTCTGCAGTCAATTAGGGCCTTAGAAAGCATGAATCTAGAAGATTTCTGGAGTTTTACTTCGATTTCTTTATAATTATTGTACGAAAACGACAGGTGGAGTATGCCATTTGGTGCAATACCCAATATAATTCGACCCTGCTGTCAATATAAAAACCAACGTCGGCAACGTAGGCATTTAGAAAAGTCTTCTTCATCGACGTTGATCAAGTTCCTCGACGTGTTTCACTTCACCTTAACAACGATCCCCCGATTTGCACGGTGCATGCGCCCAATTTAACCTCATATGCAACTACTCGGTACACTCGGCGAGGCCCAGCCCGTCTTATGCACTCTCGAACAATGGGGATTTCAATTTCTGCCGGTTGATTTTTACAATCTCTCTTTCGCCATTGGCCTGCACCTCGGCCCGTAATTGCACGTCGGGTAAATTACTATCTATCCTAATTGCGGACGGCGAGTTCAAGTCCGACTGGGAGACTGACCATAGAGTGCAGCTGATGGCGGGGGATTGATTTTTAATCTTTTTTTTTAGTGGATTTTAATATATGTAGGTGGTATTGAAATTTGAGGTTACACTTTGGGCATTTTACTGGAGGATTTATAGGGGGTGGTTTTTATCATTTCGCTTAATTTCAGGTCGATCTGATTCGTTCCAAGGATTCGACCAGCCCCCTCAAGGCCAACGGCACTACTTCCGCCGAGACGTCCGTTTAAACTGCAGGATGCATCCGGGATGCATCCTGCGGGAATTAAGGATATCCTCGACAGAGGCGCACTGATCTACGAGGAGGAATATGCGTTTAGGAATAAGGTGATAGCGAAGTTAAATTTCCGCCAGGACGCGCGTCTCGTCCGTGAGGTATCCCTGGTGCATCCTGCGGATCCTTTATGTGCATTTCCACATCCTCGAAGTCATAATCGGTTACGGTCATAAATCCGTCGACCAAAATTCTTTTACTTGTGCCAGGATGTCCTTCGAATACCTCACGTCGGCCGATATGCAGATGCAGGTGCATTCCGAGATGCACGGGAACGCTTTGCCTTCGTAGCGGACATTGAGATTTTTCTACCAGCGGCGCTTTTTGCGTTTTCTACGGGACTTTCTAACGCATCGCCTTGGACCTTGACGACCGCGAAAAATGTCCTACCAAGGATAGTCTTAAATTTATTTTTCGAGCCATCTCGAGAGGTATTTTTTTGGATAGAGACGAGGACGAGCCGGAAGGGAAAGGTTTGACGTACTTCAATTTTTCGATGTTTCGGCTGAAAAAAAATTTAATTTTTATTAGTAAGGCCCTAAATTGTTATAAATTGCAATGTTTTTGCTCGAGGTGGAATGTCTGGATTTTTCGGACCTCGTCTCTCGTTGCTCTCAAGGCGCAGGGATGGTGAATGAAAATGAATTCTGCTGCGGTTTTGTTGCAAGTGCGTTTGTAAGTGCACTTGGAGGTGCAATACATGTCCGAGGGTGGGAGTAATTTAAGGGTGGGTGCATAACGTGCGCGATGGCTTGATAAATCCTCGTTTGAAAGGACCTTAAGGCGGTCCTGTACCGGTGTGCGTAATTCTTGTGGATGTACCTTGTCCGAATAGCAAAATGGCGTTCGTAGGGTCTCAGTATTTTTGGAAACGTAGACAAGGGAACGTATTTATGCCCGCGGATGCCCGTGCATGTATACGCACGAGGCTCCCTTCTTAAGGCTTGAGGTTATGTTTTATGACTTTTTAAAGGGTCTTCGTTGCGATATCGTTTTCGAGTGTCGGCGGATCTCTCGCGAGCTTTTTTTCATAAATGGCTTGAAGATTCGATTTTTTAAGGGGGCACGTAAGAACCCTTGGGAGAGGATTAAGGGGATGTCACGTCGAAAAAGATGGCCGAGATCGGTTTGCCTCGTCGACGTAGTATTATTCGGTTGTGATTAGTTAGTCAAATAAGTTCTGCTGCCACGAGGTCCGGCTGGGTCTCGAAAACTGATCAGATCGTCCTTTGTCATCCGGATGATCCTTCAGAATTTTTCCCCAATTTTCGGGATTTTCCTTGCGATTGTCAAGCCGGACTTTGCACTTGGTTAAGCTCCATCTTTGGAACCGAAGATTTTCCGTTGCTAAATTTCCTTCTTGTCATAGTTATTCCCTCACAACTGTAGAGAACTATAACCCGGCATTCGTGAAGCTGTACTCCGATTGTGTAAATAAGTAACTGCGTGTTAGAGACTAGTATAACTATGTTACTAATAAACGATTTATTAATGCCTGCCAATTGTCCTATTCTTCGAAAATGTCCAGCGATGAGTTTGGAAAAGTGCAGTTGCATCCGCCAGCGGCGCGAATTCCGTCTTTCGTGTTGAAGAAGATCATCAGGTAAGTAATCGTGGTTGCGATTACCTGTAAGTAAGTATTAATATTTAAAAACATAGTTTGATCCTCCCTACCACCAACAAGCTGCAGAAAGTTAAGAAAAATGACCGATTGCACGAGTGTGCGATCCAACGAGAACATCCCACATGCGGTGAACGTCGTGTTCCGGTGCAGCAATTGCAGGGAGAATTGTTGCAGCTGGAAATATGAAAATGAATATTAAAGGATCCTGAAAAAAATTATTAAAAAATTCTATATACTCCAGCATTGATTGTAATGATCAACCATGAGTTATATTAACTCCACCTCAATTCTGGCATCCTGGTTCACTGTGTTCGCCAAAACCTTGTTGACGACGTTTGCAGTTTCGTGCATCTTAAAATAGGAATTAAATGAAATTCGTCCCATTTTCAGGGATTCATAAATTTAAGATGAAGTGAAACACGTCGAGGAACTTGATCAACGTCGATAAAGAAGATTTTTCTAAATGCCTACGTTGCCGACGTTGGTTTTTATATCGACAGCTGGGTCGAATTATATTGGGTATTGTACCAAATGGCATATTCCACCTGTCGTTTTCGTACAATAATTATAAAGAAATCGAAGTAAAACTCCAGAAATCCTCTAGATTCATGCTTTCTGAGGCCCTAATTGACTGCGGAGGGACCCCCTGCGCCATCTGTGATTTCCAGGTCAATTAAATGTTCACTCCGAGACCTCGTATTACCATCGTTTTAGCAAAGAAGCGCATACAACACTTTTTTTTTGCCTTTATCCCGTTGAAATGCGAGTTTATCGACTACCAAAGTGTTCTAAATTCTCGTAAAATTGTCCTGGCCCTTTCGATTCTCATATCGGAGCCTTCGATAATTGTATATTGATCGAAATTTCAGAGCTCGACGCCATTTTGGTTCTGGTCTGGACTGAGTGAAAAAATTTGTTTGAAAAATCCAAATTTTCAATGTGTCAGGACAATTCTTAGATGATCAGGAGTGATGTGTCAAGGTTTCGGACAGTTTGGTCTAATGCCCTTAAAAAAAAGTGTTGTATTCGAATCGACTGATTTGAAGGATGTTTCACTTCACCTTAAGCAATTATCGAAATAATGACGGAAATTCTCGGTACCTTTCCAACGGTCGTGCTGATGCTGGAGGACAGGAAAGTAATGGAAACGAGGGCGATGAACGCCCACGACAAGACGTTGATAACGACTTCTGCACTAGGGGAGTCCTTCAGATGGATTATGGGACTGACTATGTAGTACGCATTGTACACCAACGCGAAGACGTAATACCCTACATTAAACAATGTCGGGATGGAGTAATAATCCGAAACGCTTCGACAGATCTGACAGAGATCTAGGTGGACGTCTCTAAGTCGAGCTATCCTCATCAGCTCGACCTCGCTTAAGAAACACCTTTGATATCGAATCGCCAGGGTTGGGTAGACCTCTTCCGTCAATTCTTCGCCATCGATATCGGCGATGGCTCGGTTGAGGATATCGAACCTGTTGCTGATCATCTTCACCACTAAAATGTACTGGAAGAAGAGCAGATTCGCCAGGAAGCCGGGACCTGTGAAGGTGAATATCGAGATCGTCGGCACTTTGAAGGCGTTTATCTCGCTGATGAAGAGATGCATCCAGAACAAGGAGATAGAGACGAAGAGGCAGATGAAGATGATCAGGGGGAACCTTTGTTGCACCTTCACGTCGACGCTGAAGAAGGTCTGATCCACCCTGGACAATCGGTTGCCGATTTTGACGGCGGTCTTCTGATTCGCGATGAAGACTACCAGACTTGTCAGAACTACTATCAGACCACACAACCACTGAATGAGGTCGATGGTCTGGGTCAGTATGGTTTTGTGGGGATATTCCATCTGGTAGACGTAGGATGCGCCCAAAATCTCCATCCCCACAAAGAAGGACATGAAAACGAGGTTGTAGATGCATCCAAGTCGGGAATAGATGAAGACGGGGGTCAATCTTGAACCACGAAGGCCAACAGTCATCTTGATTTTGATGTTGAAGGTCGCCAGTCCGAAAATCTTGAAGAAGATTAATGGTATTTGGATTATCCACGGGAATCGATGGTGTTGAGAGACTTTCGGCTGCTCCGCCATTTTGTCGAAGACTTTATGGTGGCTCGATATCATGACTTATCGTAAATTTGGGAGAGATATGTGGTTATAAAAATTGGCAAATTTTGTCTTTAGGGTCTCAGCGACCTGGGGAAATCACTCGAGTGCTGAGTCGGCTCTTTTAGAACTGATCTAGGTTGATAAACTACCCTCGAAGGAAGGGTCTCTTTGCTCGAAGGACCTAACGTGTCAAGGAGTCGTGAAAGAAAAAAGATCGAATGCCGATTAGGAAATCAATGCTCGGATCAATGTTGAAATCCTTGCAAAGGAAAAAATAAATAAATAAGCTGTGAATTATTGAAAGCTATTATGTACCTTGAATAAATATGGAAAGCATTTTTGAGTCGACCCCGAATGTTCGAAAATAACTTTTGACATTTTCTCGTAGCAGGGAATTAAGTATTAACAGTGTAATGCGCTTCAGAGACGTAGAAATTCCCAGGACAATTTTCTAATCGCGAGTGCCTGTATCTCGGCAATTCCATCAGCTTGTCCTTTTTCCCCGGTCGATTGAATTTAATCATTAGTCGATCGATGGTCAAATTGAGCAGAGAAAAATCGAAGGGGCCCCTTGGGACCGGATGAAAATTTTCGAGTAATAATCGGTAATTAACTTCCGCCCTTTGCCAAGGGTCTTTAATTGCACACCGCAGCCATTAATCGCGCAAAGTGCACGTTCGAGTGCACTTCCAGTAATTTCACGGCCTTCCATCGGCCCTAATCGCACTTGCAAGTCCGACGGACATGCAGACATGCAGGGTGCATCTCAGGTGACGTACCTGGCACCTGTTGTGTCCTCGCAGGTGCATCTAGTCGAATTAAAGAGCCGGCTGCTATTAAGCCAAGAGAAACTGGACAGTTGATAAACATCGGTCGTCATGGGGAACGAAGGGACCAACAAAGAAGGTCTTTGAAGGTGCCGAAAGAATCCTTGCAGTCGAGGACAGGTTTTCTAAGGATGTTGAAGCAGCTCCAAAATTGGAGGAAGTGGTACTCCTTCCGGTCCTGCGACTTCGCCTCTCTTATGAGGCCGAATTTCGTCCTTTGCCAGATCCACGGATTATTCCCCTACAAAGTTGGAACGGAGACGAGTTGGAGTAAAAATGGAGGTAAAAAAAAAATCCAAGAGCTTAGGAATAAAATTCAAATTCCTACCCCGATAAATAAAGAACGTCATTGATCGAAAGAAATAAGAATTTGCCTTAAGGTGAAGTGAAACACGTCGAGAAACTTGATCAACGTCGATAAAGAAGATTTTTCTAAATGCCTACGTTGCCGACGTTGGTTTTTATATTGACAGCTGGGTCGAATTATATTGGGTATTGTACCAAATGGCATATTCCACCTGTCGTTTTCGTACAATAATTATAAAGAAATCGAAGTAAAACTCCAGAAATCCTCTGAATTCATGCCTTCTGGGGCCCTAATTGACTGCGGAGGGACCCCTTGCGCCATCTGTGATTTCCAGGTCAATTAAATTTTCACTCCGAGACCTCGTATTACCATTGTTTTAGCAAAGAAGCGCATACAACACTTTTTTTGCCTTTATCCCGTTAAAATGCGAGTTTATCGATTACCAGAGTGTTCTAAATTCTCGTAAAATTGTCCTGACCCTTTCGATTCTCATATCAGAGCCTTCGATAATTGTATATCGATCGAAATATGAGAGCTCGACGCTATTTTGGTTCTGGTCTGGACTGAGTTAAAAAATTTTCTTGAAAAATCCTAATTTTGAATGTGTCAGGACAATTCTTAGATGATCAGGAGTGACGTGTCAAGGTTTCGGACAATTTGGTCTAATACCCTTAAAAAAAAGTGTTGTATTCGAATCGACTGATTTGAAGGATGTTTCACTTCACCTTAAATAAACTCGAATAAATTCGATGTAAAATTTCTTCGGAAGGGAATTCATTTTCTTAGGGTAGGAACAAATTTTATTTTGACTTTGGGATTGCTTTTCAGGGCAAGGTAGAACAGTCCTGCCTTCCAGGATCAGCTGGATCTTTTCAGCATTCATCCTGATGGTTTTCACAATGGGCATAGGAGTAGCGATATACGCAATCGATATTTCCAACATTTTGTCATATGACAGCGTCCCAGGGATGCTGCAGGCGAACTGCTACTTGATCTTCGGCTTCCTCATCTCCGTGGTCACGTTCGTCTGTCAAAATTGTCGTCTGAGGGTGCTTCGGGAAATTTCCAGGATTTCATCTCAGCTGACTGACGAGGATTTCGGCAGATGGACTCTGACGATCCAAGCGAAGGACATCCTGGGATTTATTTTCCTCGCTGGGCAGATGACGAGAGCGATCATGAAGTCTGGGAGTTACATTCTCGCTGCTTTCAAATTTCTCGGCATGTACACTACCTTGGTCGTCTTCCTGATGGACTGTCAGTACATGAACCTCGTGTGCGTCCTGGAACTCTGTTTCCGGAAGATAAATCAACACCTTATAGCTTTGAGAAGAAAAGTCGAAATCGACGAGCCCCACTTACTCAGGAGAGTTTATCACGAGAACAAGAACCCTTTGATCCTACACGAGCTCCAGGTGCTCAAGAAATCCTATCAAGACGTCAGCGATGCAGTTCGGGACCTGAACGACGCCTTCTGTCTGCAAAACGTCGCCTCGATCGTCCTTACCTTTGCTGAAATAACGTTTAGTCTGTACTTTTACATACTAAAGGTGCTGGGGGTGAAGGAGATTAACCTGGAAAAGCAGATTTGGTACTCTTACTTCATAATGTCGGTGGGGTACTACGCTGCAAAAATTGCATTCACGGTCTGGACGTGTGAGATCACGAAAGACCAGGCCCTGAAGACCGGCATCCTGGTGCACGACGTCATCCTGTGCACCAGCGACGACCGCACCAAGGAAGAGGTAACCCTGAAAAAGTGTCGGAAGTTCTTATCGATCATTCTATATATTTTTCATCGATAAATAATAAGATTTTCATCATTTTTAACACCTCAGATGCAGCTCTTCTCGCTGCAGCTGTTGCATCGCGACAACTCCTTCACGGCGAAAGGGTTATCCCTGGACGCGACTCTTCTGAGCGCGGTAAATTTTTTTTTATTTCTGATTGTTGACGACTCCCACGGGCGTAAAAATATTTCTCACCTTCCAGATCGTCGGAGGGATCACCACGTATTTATTGATCCTGATCCAGTTCCTCCTGTCCTCGAAATCCTGCAGGGGAGGAGCCGACGCAGGGCAGTGACCACGGAAAGGCAAATCCGAATTTCAAAAGACTTCCCAACCATGACACGCTCCCCAACGGGTATTGAAAAACCTTATACAACGAGGGTCGCACTTTTTGGTCCGTTTTCCAGATTTCCATCAAGATGCATCGATCTTCCCGGGGACAATGCACTTCCTTCGGTGCAGACACGAGATCATCGGCCTGGCGCCTTTCCGTCAGACTGCATTACGGAGGTTTCTGCCGTAATAAAACCGGGTTAGAGCTTGCCAAATATCCTGAAAAGAGATCTCCACTCCGTATAAACGAGGGGAACAATTAATAATTTCCTAGGTCCGCAGCAAAGTTTCTCCTGGACGGTCCCTGCGTCGTTCTGCATCTCGTCCGTCGGTTCAAACTGCAACTATTAAGGTGAAATGAAACACGTCGAGGAACTTGATCGACGTCGATAAAGAAGATTTTTCTAAATGCCTACGTTGCCGACGTTGGTTTTTATATTGACAGCTGTGTCGAATTATATTGGGTATTGCACCAAATGGCATACTCCATCTGTCGTTTTCGTACAATAATTATAAAGAAATCGAAGTAAAACTCCAGAAATCCTCCGGATCGTGCTTTCTGGGGCCCTAATTGACTGCAGAGGGACCCCCTGCGCCATCTGTGATTTCCAGGTCAATTAAATTTTCACTCCGAGACCTCGTATTACCATCGTTTTAGCATAGAAGCGCATACAACACTTTTTTTGCCTTTATCCCGTTCAAATGGGAATTTATCGATTACCAGAGTGTTCTAAATTCTCGTAAAATTGTCCTGACCCTTTAGTTTCTCATATCAGATCCTTCGATAATTGTATATCGTTCGAAATATGAGAGCTCGACGCCATTTTGATTCTTGCCTGAGCTGAGTTAAAAAATTTTGTTGAAAAATTCAAATTTTCAATGTGTCAGGACAATTCTTAGATGATCAGGAGTGACGTGTCAAAGTTTCGGACCGTTTGGTTTTTTACCTTTGAAAAAAAGTGTTGTATTAGAATCGACTGATTTGAAGGGGGTTTCACTTCACCTTAACAGTTGCCATGTTTTTAGGATATGATTTTCTGGCAGTTAATTTTTTATACCGGGGTTCTTCTCAACTTCTAGTTAACATTCACCGTTTATTTATTCGGTGGCTTGCTGGGATCGTACTTGCCATTTAACGAGGGGGTGGAATAACCGAGTGCATTTCGTTTTTACAAATGGCGCCGGTTGCATTCCGCTCGGCTTGTTCTCGGCAGACGTTCTAATGGTTATTAGCATGACCAGCTTCGGGATGCATCGATCGTCTGCATGACGATGTACCTTGCTTCGATGGAGGTGTGGGCATCCTCTTGGCGCCTTCGTGTCTGACTAAATTCCGGCGGATTCCACTACGAGCAAAATCGGAATTCGAGGACCGCAACAATGCAAGGTGCAGCCGCCTGTGCATGAATTATTAATGCACACGGGGTTCTTACTCTTCCCCTTGCAAATTGGTCGATCGATCTCCGCTCGCGGCTTATAATAAATGCAAATTGAAAAACCTGAGTGGGTGAGATCAATTTCTAACGATCCGAAGCTATCTCGAGGAGTTGAAAAAATCCCTCGACGACTGCCTGCAGAAATTCCTCGGTTTAAGGTGAAGTGAAACACGTCGAGGAACTTGATCAACGTCGATAAAGAAGATTTTTCTAAATGCCCACGTTGCCGACGTTCGTTTTTATATTGACAGCTGGGTCGAATTATATTGTGTATTGTACCAAATGGCATATTCCCCCTGTCGTTTTCGTACAATAATTATAAAGAAATCCAAGTAAAACTCCAGAAATCCTCTGAATTCATGCCTTCTGGGGCCCTAATTGACTGCGGAGGGACCCCCTGCGCCATCTGTGATTTCCAGGCCAATTAAATTTTCACTCCGAGACCTCGTATTACCATCGTTTTAGGAAACAAGCTCATACAATACTTTTTTTGCCTTTATCCCGTTCAAATGCGAGTTTATCGATTACCAGAGTGTTCTAAATTCTCGTAAAATTGTCCTGACCCTTTCGATTCTCATATCAGAGCCTTCGATAATTGTATATTGATCGAAATATGAGAGCTCGACGCCATTTTGGTTCTGGCCTGGACTGAGTCAAAAAATTTTTTGGAGAAATCCAAATTTTGAAAGTGTCAGGACAATTCTTAGATGATCAGGAGTGACGTGTCAAAGTTTCGGACAGTTTGGTCTAATACCCTTAAAAAAAAGTGTTGTATTCGAATCGACTGATTTGAAGGGGGTTTCACTTCACCTTAATTTCCCACTCGAGATGCATCGCTGGGGGAAGTGAATTCGGAGGAATTCGAAGCGATGCACTTGGGTCGAGGCGGCCCCTCTGAAAATGAATTTCGTCGGTGCATCTAAGATAGGCGTGGCCGTCTTAACAATGGGTTTTTATCGTCGGCATACGTTACCACCTGACAGGTACACTCGGCAGTAATGACGCCGCGATAAATGCCGAGATATAAGGCGGATAAAATCGGGCCGCACGTCCACCGGAGATCCAGTCGGGCTACCCTCGCCTCCGTGACTTGCGGAACGAACCCTCGCCCCGGAATTCCCGGCCGCCATTGTTGCACCGGGAGACTTGCAGCGGTGGGATAAATTTCTAAATAAATCGACCGCCTCGAGAGAATTCCTCCATTTGGGAGGAAACGATGCCCTTCACCTCGGCGGTCAAATGGAAAATTATTATCCCGCGTTTCCGGGATCCGCGCAGCGTCACTTCCGGTCGCCTCCTCGGTGCATCGGAACGCCCTCTGTTGTTGTTAGGTTATAAATTCCTACGTAAACTCCCTGCATTTTGAATTTAGAAATCCTCGATATTCATCTGTTTAATTGGAAAATGTTTTATCTCCCGTTTCCGTTATCCTACATTTCCGGATGCTCGATCGGTGCATCCGGTGAGTGCATCGGAGCGCCCTCTGCGCGGCGGATCGATTTCCCCCGCGCGCCGACGGCGCCCCCTGATTCGCGTCCCGCCAACCCCGGCTACCTTCTCGCAGTCAGCGCGCCGAGCGCTCAGTCTCGCGCCAGCCGTCGCGCGGTGAACGTCTAGGCGCTTTTGCGGGTCTGCGCTGCGCTCTCCGACCAGTCGGGCACCCCGCGTCTCTCGCGCGCCCTGGACAAGCGCAGTGTCCCGAGGATGGTGCACCCAGTGCAGGTGCATCAGGTCGTCCCGACGCCCCCCAGACGTCCCACCGAGCGCGGAGCCACGGGTCAAGGCCAGGCATAGATGGACCGCCTGCAATAAAAAACAAAAGAACCAGGTGACATATTTTCACATAAAGATTCTCGCAATAATTATTCTAACCGGAACACATATTTAGAAACTCAATTTTGAGGTTATCTATATGGAAATCGTTGTCACAGATTTAAGGTCGAACGTTAGTTGTTACCGAGTCACATTGTTTATCACATAAAATCAGAGGTAATCGTTTTCATTGATTTCCGGGGGAATATCCACTCTGGATCAACAGGTGATCTATTTTAGCACATCTCCATTTTTAACGGTACATTATCTAAAATTTTCTTTTTTTGTCTAGAGATAGGTTTGGTTTAGTTAAATAATTTTAAATGATTTAAAGCAACTTGGGCTTATGTTCTTTGCGCGTCATTATGTTTATTGTAATTTATTGATCCCTATAATGGGACGTGTCATAGTCGGTAATTGGTGGCCAATAACAGGGTCGAGTAATTACTCTTTAACGCTCGGCCGGGTAACGAATGGCCATTAAGGTTGGCTTAGAGTGCCCACGAATACCCATGGATGGCTCGGTCGGTGAATGACACGGATAATCAGTGGGTAATGACCACGGTCGGATTATTCGTGAATGGGGTCACGGTCGGCCGATTAGCGACTAATGACACGAGATAATTGCTCGTCAATTCCAAGCCCGAGCAATGTCATGGTCATTGGCTTAACAGAGGCTTCATTGTTTCCCTCTATGTCGGCCTTTTCCGCGGATTCTCGCATTTCAACCTGGTCATGAATTAATATACGGTCTTATCGTGTACTTTGACATTAGATTAAGTCCTAGCCCGTTGACGGTTTCTCTTATCCTGCAACTTTAGACCAGGAAAAAAATAATTAAAAAAAAACAGTCACCACGCACGACGTTAATGACATCTCTTTGGCAGTTCCCGAGTTACTTGCACCTCGAGAATATGAATACCGCAAATAAATTCCGGCTAACTTTAGCTGTCATCAAGAGGAGCGTAAACAATGCCGTCAATGACATTACAGATATCGCCTGTAATCTCCACTCGATGTTTCACAGTTTTTACCTAGAAATTATGTAAGGTGAACACTCGAGCGGGAGATCTTTGTCTTAATAGTCGTTATTATTCTTGAAACGTTCGCTCCCATTATGGTTTTCGTATTTATTTATTTTTTTCCTTTTTTAAGAGGAAGGAGATTTAAACGAATTACCGGAGCGTCGTAGGTCATGGTTAGGAAGAGGCTCGAGGCTCCTCGAGGTTTCTCGCTTTTTATGTACTCGTGTATATATTTATTTGTATACTTTTGAATGACTCGCTCCTATAATAGTTCATTGGCAGTTTAACGAGACATTTAACTGACGTCGCCTCGCATTTCTATTAATTTTTTCTTCTTCAATTTCTATTAATATTTATTTTCATAATTTTAAGTAACCGCTCGTTTAATTAGTGGTTGGATCGGCGGGGTGTCATTGTTGGGAACTCGCGGTGGATTTAGGATACAGTGAAATTAATGACGCGTTTGACTGACATATCGCGCGGCGTTTCCACTATCTGCCGGGCGAAGATTTTTTACGTCGAGTGAAAATGTCGGTCACGGTCAGACAGCACGGATCGCACCTGTCAGTGTCTCTAGGTATAGACGTCATTAGTCGCTGCCAATGGTTTGACACGTAATTCCCTATCTAGATACGGATGTCTCGGAGCACGTGGGCGCAGCTGTGACGCGAATTCAATTCCCGAGGAAGAGAAGAGACGCCACCTCGATCCCTCCCGAGAAGATGAGGTGAGTCGCCATTGGCTCCGCATTTATTTTTCGTCCTTCTAGCAACTTACCGTGTTTACGAAGAAGCCGCGGAATCCAGGAACTCGCGGAATAAAAAGAAATTCCCCTCCTTCGGGACGCTCGGGCGAAAACTTGAGGAAATCTCTATTTACATTTTTTTTATACGACTTTTCTCTTATACGGCAGATTAATTGCGACAAACTCGTCAGGCGATTCATCTAAAATTATCGTGTTTACATATCGCGAGATTCCGTAATTCCGGAACTCGCGGGATAAAAAGAAATTCCCCTCCTACGGGACCCTCGGGCGAAAATTTAAGGAAATCTCTAATTAAACTTTTTTTATACGACTTTTCTCTTATATGGCAGATTAATTGCGATAAACTCGCCAGGCAATTCATCTCCTAAAATTATTGTGTTTACACATGTGCCCATAATTATGAAAGTGGTCTGTCATATATGTTTTGTTTCGAAATTACATTGAATTAATTTCGTTTGAAATAATATGGCGTGAAATAACTGATAAACTCATTTCTTTTTTTTTAATTTTGACTTAGACCACTTTCATAATTATGGGCACATATCGCGAGATTCCGCAATTCCGGAACTCCGCGGAATAAAAAGAAATTCCCCTCCTACAGGACCCTCGGGGGAAAACTTGAGGAAATCTATATTTACACTTTTTTTATACGACTTTTCTCTTATATGGCAGATTAATTGCGACAAACTCGTCGGGCGATTCATCTCCTAAAATTATCCTGTTTACATATCGCGGGATTCCGCAATTCCGGAAAATGTTTTTGCGCCTCCTCGACGCTACCGCGCAAAAAGAGAGGAAAAATTTCTGCAACGTTATAAGCGTTTTCAGGTGGCGCGCAATTTCTCGACGATCGATCCAACAATAGCCCTAGCGACCGAGTAATCGATATAAATTCGGGAAACGATCCGGAGGATCGGCAACGCGGGTCCGCGCCCGATCGGCCAAATGGCGATAACGGCGTTCGGGTGATAAGATATTTGACTAGTGACGTCACTTCAATTCCCAGTCTGTTTTTTTGCGCGAGTGCCCGGCCTTGGGTCTCTCAAAACACGCAGACGGACCGTTTCCTTCCGCTCGATGATTTTCTCAATAAGATATTCCGCGAATATATATATATATTTTTTTTCTTTGTATGACTCTTTCGTATCATTTTAAGTTACTGGAATTTTTAAGCGGCGGGAAAACTGAAAGGAAAGGCTGATATTTTTTTTTTTTTTCTTTGTATGACGCTTTCGTATCATTTTAAGTTACTGGAATTTTTAAGCGGCGGGAAAACTGAAAGGAAAGGCTGATATTTTTTTTTTTTTTCTTTGTATGACGCTTTCGTATCATTTTAAGTTACTGGAATTTTTAAGCGGCGGGAAAACTGAAAGGAAAGGGCTGATAGCAGAGGGACGAAGATTTATCTCGGAGAGAGGGAGAGGAGGGATTATAGTTTGTCGCTCTCGAAGAAAACCAGGCCGCGAGGAAGCATAGTTGCGATGCCAAGTCTCTAGATAGGCGAATCCCGGTAATTCTCCCCTTTCCCCTCCTTTCGGCCTTGCCGGCCGAAAGGAGTACCGAGAGGACACGCTGGTATAGTCCGAAACACTCCGAGAAAGCAAAAACTTGTTTATCGCGAATGCCAATTAGGTGCGGCCAACTATACTATGGTTAAGTATAGCTCGCTAGGCTATTAATGTGGCTGCATATAGTGAGAGTCATTATGCTACCGAGCGGCGCCTCGACATTGTCCGTCGAAGAGTAATAGAAAAAAAATAAAAAAATAAATAGAAAAACAATCCCAGAGCACAGGTGCACACCTGTCGAGGTAGACGCGCCTATTGTCGAAAATGTTGAACGTTGACTTGAGTCGTTTCCAAAATTCTTTTACCCACGTGACCGCGAAGGCCCCGAAGAGGGTCTTGACATCCGCGAATTTTCCATTTTACTTTTTGGTGGGTANGTATCAACTTATCTGTCTAAAAATTGTTTACATGCTTAACAATTTTTTGGAAAGGTTATACTTTGTGACGCCACCTTGAGGGTACGTATCAACTTATCTGTCAGGGTATGTTCGGCTAGATTTCGAGGGCCACGTCCAGGAGGAAAATCGCAATTAATTCCCCCCACCTGGGAAAGTTGAGAAAGTCCTTGTGACACGCAATATCCATTCTTTGCCGAGCCTCCAACTGCGCAATTCGCGGGTACTTATACAACCAGGTGGTACTTATTATTCTCTTATTACTCTGGCTCCCGGTATTTCAAGCCTTTGGCTGCTTTACACCTGGCCGAATGTCACGTGGGGTTTCCTGGGTCGATTTGAAATCGGCATCCTGGGGGAAAATAGGACTAACGCGTACCGGTGTTTCGTGCCAATTATTCGTATCCGCGAATTTAACACTACATTTACGGGCGTTTTATATATACCTGTTTCTACGAGCACCCGTCAAATTGACGGGCAAACGAAAACACGGATTTTCTTTAAAAAATCGATATATTCAAATTAAGTCCGAATTAAACAACCCTAGGCTTTACGTTTAATTGAATGATTAATAAGTAAAAAGTCCTTTTTTAAAAATCATCACGGAAATTATTGCAATGCTCGTCCTCTCATCCTCGGAGTCAGGACTAGAAAGAATGCGCATCCTTTTCTTCCTACGACACCCTTTCAAGAAGTTTTCCTCTTCACTATCCGAAGATCCTTCCATCTTTCCACTTTCAATGCAAACTTTCACTCTCATTTTCGCCTTACACTCTCTGCAACGAAGCAAATATATATATGGATTGTTTATGAAATTAGCTAGTCCGTCAATTTGACGAGTTTCGTAGAGATAGGTATACCACATACAGATTTTAATAATTAGAAGGCTTAGGAAAAAATAATTGCGTGTACAAATTCTTTGGACGAAATGATTAATTTACGATACAAAAATGGTTAAAGTTAATGCTATGCGTTTTTCGGTATTTCTTATCGAAGTTTGAATTCCGTCAAATTGACGGGTCCCGTAAACCTAGTGTTAATTTCCCACGTGGCGGTCGTCGGTGGGGAAAAACTCATTTATCGTTGAATATCACGGTTGGTTAATCGGAAGAGAAGGAAAACAATGCGTCCTGGCCGAGTCGGCGCTTGATTAACTGCATTAATTGGTCGCCTCGATTTTCGTCCTTTTTCTCGGTTATTAATATCGAGCCGGCGACGGGTGCCGGGGAATTATGCTGCAGGACTCCGTAAAACGCTTATCATGCTCGTATGATCCAGTTGCCAGTGATAAACAGATTTCTTGCGAGACCTGCCACGCGCCAGGATCTCGAGTGACGAGATCCTTGCCCCGTGGTTTTTTTTAAAAGGACGATAATTAACATCGCAATATGGCCGGTAAAAAAAAAAATTGCACGCACTCATAAATCGTTAAAAATCACTATTTTCAGAATTTAACATTTTTTACCGTATACGAAGCTTCGAGTTGATCGGAGGTACGCGCTTTTCGGAACTTTGTCCAAAAATGGCGGGCACTGTTAAAAAAAAAATAATAATAATATTTCACCACATATTTTTTGGAATTCAGTTTAACACTTAAGTGTATTAATTCCCCTGGCAGGATATCCGGATATCCCGACGCGATAACGGGAATTTGCAAATCCATTTAATTAATAAAAAAAAAATTTGCGCGCACTCTTAACTCGTTAAAAATCACTATTTTCAGAATTTAACATTTTTTACCGTATACGAAGCTTCGAGTTGATCGGAGGTACGCGTTTTTCGGAACTTTGTCCAAAAATGGCGGGCACTGTTAAAAAAAAAATAATAATAATATTTCACCACATATTTTTTGGAATTCAGTTTAACACTTAAGTGTATTAATTCCCCTGGCAGGATATCCGGATATCCCGACGCGATAACGGGAATTTGCAAATCCATTTAATTAATAAAAAAAAAATTTGCGCGCACTCTTAACTCGTTAAAAATCACTATTTTCAGAATTTAACATTTTTTACCGTATACGAAGCTCCGAGTTGATCGGAGGTACGCGTTTTTCGGAACTTTGTCCAAAAATGGCGGGCACTGTTAAAAAAAAAATAATAATAATATTTCACGACATATTTTTTGAAATTCAGTTTAACACTTAAGTGTATTAATTCCCTGGCAGGATATCCGGACATCCCTACGCGATAACGGGAATTTGCAAATCCATTTAGAAACGTCGATTACGTGCGAGAATTTTCAACGGTGTAAATTTATACCAACGGTCCTTTCCAAGGACCTTTCGGAGGTCCTTGGACGTGCATCTATGCAGGACCTCGCAATCCACTCGACGCACCGCCTCGAGTAACGTATTGTCCTCTTGTTTCCTCCATTTGGCGTCCCCGTTTGTCCGTGTCGGCTCTCTCTATTTCCCTCTCCGTCTTACGCCCACGCGGCCCAATGGGTGCGTCTCTCTCCGTCTTGTTTTTCTCGTCGGGGCAGATACGCGTCATCGCGCGTCGATGATAGAATCGGATCTGGCCGACTCATGATTCACGTGTTCGTGTGCGTCGTCTTCGCATAAACAAAATCGTTTGCTCGGTCCTCCCATCGGTCTCTTCCTCCCCCGCGTTATCTCCTCTCTTTCTCTCTTCGTCTTTGACGGGGGAATTTCGACGCGATATCGGGCCCTTATCGGTCGCCAATTTTTTCCAACATGGCGCCGCTCTGGCGGTTTTCGCCATTTTTCTCTGTATCTCTCTTGACTCGAACTTCGCACGCATGATCCCGGAATTCGATTTCATTGATTTTCGTCGTTTTTAGCGCTTTTCGGAAAATTTTTCGACGCTGTGTCGGGCCCTTATCGGCCGCCAATTTTTTCCAACATGGCGCCGCTCTGGCGGTTTTCGTCATTTTTCTCTGTATCTCTCTTGACTCGAATTTCCCACGCACGATCCCAGAATTCGATTTCATTGATTTTCGTCGTTTTTAACGCTTTTCGGAAGATTTTTCGACG